TTTTGACGCTTCCGGGAGCCTGAGGCTCGCGGGTGGGACGATTACCTGGGCCCAGTCTGGGTTGGGGGGTTGGGGGGTGTTTTGGAATGTTGGGAAGGAGCTCCGGGTCCGACTGTAGGATCTTGCTGTTGGATTGGTCTTCTTGGGGTCTGGGCCGTAGAGAAGTGGGGTGTAGTTAAACTGGAGGCGGACCCCTGGGGTCTGGGGCCTGCTCCTGTCACTTGTCAGCTCTGTAGCCTTGAGCAAGGCGGTTAACCCGCCCAAACCTCAGTCTCCTCGTGTGTATTGAGGGGGATCGGGGTGCTTGCTCTGGGCACCTCAAGGTTTGAGAGGGTTAAGATAGCGATCTTGGTTGTGAAAGGCTTGTCGCTGGGGAGCCCTTGCCTGGGTGTGAGGGTGAGGGGCTGGCTCTCTACCTATTATCCACTGCCCCTTTGGCCTGGCTGCAGCAGTGAGGGACCATAGTTGGGCTCTGGCTCAGCACCTCATCAGCTGAGGTGAAGAGTAGGTGGGACCTCCTCCTTGCAGCCCCTAGCCCAGAGCCTGGTGCCTGGAAGCCGCTTAAAGAACAGGCGGGCCCTCCCTTCTTCAAGGTTATACTGATCACCGGTGCATGACTGACTCAGCAGTTCAACATTTGTGGAGTACCAGGCGCTGTGAGCAAAGGATGAATGACAGGGACCTGCCCTCTAGAACTCACTATAAAGGGATTCCCTGACGATAGCCTTGAATCCCCAAATCATTCCCCCACCCTACACCACTCCCTAGACCCTCCTCCAAAAAGAGTCAGCCCTTCCCACCCCTATGGGGGGAGCACAGGACCCATTTGAAGCCTCCTCTCCCCCTCCACCTGAGATGATATCCTAATGGCAAGATCTTAGCTTTCAGAGTCAGGCCAACTGGTGTCAAAATTCCAGTTCTGCTACTAACCACATGACCTTCGTCAAGTAGTTCTCAACTGGAGGAGATTTTGCCTCACAGGGAGGGAACATTTGGCAATGTCTGAAGGCAGTTTTAATTGGCCTAGCTGGTCGTGGAGGTGCTCCTGGCATTTAGTGGGTAAAGGCCAGGGATTGCCAAACATCCCACAGTGCACAGAACCTCCCCCCATAACGAGGAAATCTCTGGCCCCAAATGCCCAACTTGACAAAGTTCGGAGACCCTGCCTGAAAGGAAGAATTTAACTTTCCAGGGCTTCGGTTTCCTCATCTGTAAAATAGGGCTACAAATAGTTTCTAGCTTGCAGAGCTATCGTGGAGGCTCAACAAGGTAGCACCTCATAATAGCCCTTGCTACACACACACACACACACACACACACACGCACGCACGCACGCGCCCCGCTCCACTCATTACTAGTATGCTTCTGGAATGCCTCCTGCCGAGCCCGCTCCCTCTGGCTTCCCTGTCTCCCTGCTGTCCTTGACCCCAGCCTGGTCCCCTCACGGCCCATCCCCGCAGCAGGCCTCTGCCTCGGTGCCCCACTTGTCCCACACTCCCGCGCTCTGTGTCTGGGGGCTCTGCTCCAGGCCACCGGCCAGGCTGAACACCCGCCTCAGTCTTCCCTCCTTCAGCGCCTTTGCACAGACTTCCTGTCAGGCACCGGGCCACCCCACTACCTCCCACGCCTTCCACCAAAGTGGCCTAAGAGAGTGAGGCATGTCCTGGATTTGGCCCAGGCTGCTTGGTCCAAGTTCTGAGCTCAGCCTATTACTTATTATCTAGTTTTGGGAAAGTGAGTCTCACCTGTGAAACAGGGACATCTCCAACCACAAGGTGGTTCTGTGGACCAAGTTGAGAATGAGTGAGAAAACGTGCAACTATGAACTTTAGTGGAAAAGTGTAAGTTATTTACTGTCGAGCATCATCTCACTGTATATATATATATATTTTTTTTTAAGATTTTATTTATTTATTTGACAGAGAGATAGAGAGCACAAGTAGGCAGAGTGGCAGGCAGACAGAGGGAGAGGGAGAAGCAGGCTCTCCACTGAGCAGGCAGCCTGACACGGGGCTCGATCCCAGGACCCCAGGATCATGACCTGAGCCGAAGGCAGCCGCTCAACCGACTGAGCCACCCAGGCGCCCCTCACTGTATATATATTTTAAATATTTATTTATTTAAGTAATCTCTACACCCAACGTGGGGCTCGAACTCATGAGCTCGAGATGGAGTTTCGTGCTCTACTGACCGCCGGGAGCCCCCTAGTGCATGTCACTTAATCTTTGCAGCGTCCTTATTTTATAGACCAGGAGAGTGAGGCCAGAGTCACTCCCCTGAAAAGCAGGGCCAGGTGCACTCGCTCAGGTAAGAAACACTGAGCGCCTCCTGTGAGCCAGGCGTTAGGGACACAGATGACCAAGACTTGGTCCCTCCTGTCTCTCACAGCACTTTTGGGAGGAAGGGTCATAGATGGAGGGAGGCACTGGATGCCTTGCGCCCACCTCCAAGGTCATTGGTCCTCAAGACGAGCGCCACTTCCACTGCCCAAACCGCCCCTTGGACTCAACCCTTATATCCTGATAATACTTGTTAACGCTCCCACTCTCGGGCCTCTGGATTCCATCTGTAATTCATTATCCAGAGTCCTATGCTGCTCTTCAACCACTGTGCTTGGTTGTGCCTCTCCCTCCATCTCCCCATCAGTGGGCAGCTCCCTTGAGGGCCGGCACTTTAGCCTTGCCCCTTCTAGGCATCCTGCCCAGGTTACAGTTGAGGAATGGAGGCCCAGAGAATTCAGTAGCCCATCTGTCATTGCAGTGCAAGTGAAGGCAGGATCGGAACCTGGTCCCCACCCAGCCACAACCCCACCCCCAACCCCGGTCAGGTTCCCTTCTCTGGACCTGGCCTCCTCTGTTTTCTCCTGCTGCTTCTGGGACTGGGGATCTGTGGCCTAGCAGGGGAAGAGCAGACTGATGGCATTGGGAGTCTGCAGTTAGGATCGAATATTCAGGATCAAAGCCCGCTTTGAAGTTTGGATTTAGGATTGAGACCTTCAGTGGTGGTGGTAAGGGAGGGGGGACCCTTTGGAAAGAGTCTAGAGTGAAATTTGGGGTAAGATCCCCCCTCTTTTTTCTGCCTCTTTTTCACAAAGATGGGGAGGTCTGGGATAGGAAGGGTTAAGTGTGGTTTTGCTTCCCCTGCCAGGAAGGGAAGCTGGGCCTGTCTGGGACCTGGGGGGGGGGGCTTGCTGCCAGGGGGGCTGAGGCAGTGGGAACAGCATGAGCCCTGTCCCTCACGTTTCACTGGCTAACCCACCCTGCCTCTGCTCCTAGTTTGGGGAACAGAAGAGGGAGAAGCAGAACAAGACTTTTTGTTTTGTCTGGGAAGCTGAGAGTAGGTGCCACGCCCTGGGGAAGAGGGCTGCATGAGGGGAGCCATATCCTGGATCCCTCACTTGGGTGCATCCTGGATGCTTACCACAATGCCCGGTCACCCTCATAGAGATAGGAACCCAAGCATCCCCTCCACGTTTCCCCTCCATAAATACTCAGAGACCCTGTCCTACTCCACTCCAACCCCTGTGTACTCTGAGGCCTGGCTCCAGAACCCAGGAAAGAGGGCCAGTCCGGCTCTGCTTCCCTTTCGTATTACAGAAACCCTAATATCCTGGACCTGTAGGCGTTAGCAACATAATTGAGTTTTCTGGGTTCTTCACCAAAGAAGCCGTGGGAGGCACAGGGGCAGGCCATGAACTCACGTGGGTTCTGGAACCTCGGCCTGCCACCTCTTAGAGAGGATGAGGTGGCCGGTGGGGCCAGGGCCAGGATTAGGGGAGGGGAGTAGAAGGCTGATCAGAGGAGTCCTTGGTAAGGCCTGAGGATGGAGGCTCCAGAGCCTGGGGCGGCAGGGGGGGGGACGCCTGGGGACCTGGGGGATCCAGTGGCAAAGCAGACCTGGCCACGGAGGTATGTAGGGATAAGTGCAGCCAGGAGGATTGTGGGGTCTTTGCTGTCCTAGCCCCCCAGGGCTGCCTCTCTGGTTGAAACCAGGACAGAGACCCCCCACTGGCTGTCCAGCCCCTGCCCTGCTCCCCCTTTCAGGCCCCTCTGGGAACCACAAGAATCTGGGACCTGGTGTCCTGGCAACGTGATGAATGCACACACAGCTCTGGTATCTGTTTTAAATTATCCATTAAAATAAGTACAGTCTTGGAGTTGGCGGGGTGGGGTAGAAGGAGTAGAAAGGGACTGAAGGGGGAAGAACCTAGGCAGCCTCTTTTTCCAGTTGCTTGGGTCCAAAGGAAGGGGGCAGGGGATGGGCGCAAGTGCCGAGGTCCTACTCTTGGTTTTCTGTGGGGGTCTGTAGCTTGGTGCTGGGGTCCAAGACCCAATGCTTGGTTTTGAAGGGCAAAGTTGGGGCAGAAGATAGGAAAAGAGGGACCCCAAACTTCTGGTCCTTGCCCCAAATTTGAGGGTTAAAGGAACTCAGAATCCAGAATTTCCCTGCAGCATGGCTCCCCAGGGAGCCCAGGCATTCCTTCCCAACCCCACCCTGGCACACTGAGATGCTGCTTTGAATGGGCTGCCCACATGTGGAGGGGGGTAGGGGTGACTCACTATTACTATGGGGAGGAAAGGGGGAGCCAGCGGTGGAAGAAGAGTGAGTCACCCTGATGGGCACCAGCCTCAGTCCTCCCCCCACCTTTCCTGGATCGGCCTGCCTGGCGCCCTCCCCGGGCCCTACAGCCGCTTTCCCTCTTCCTCCTGCCCTTTGCCCACCCACTCTCAGCCTTTGGCTCGGCCTTCTTCTACCCGGGAAGGCCGGAGCCGGTGGGGGTGAGCTTGCAGCTGGGAGCCTTCGAGCAGGCAGAATCAAGACGGGAGGAGCCCCAGGCCGAGCGCCGAGCGGGTGCGCGGGACAGGGTGGAGCCCCACTCCGCCGCCGCTCCGCGGTCCTCGCCCCTCCTCGCCTCCCCCTCACCTCCCGCTGCGGGTGTGCCGCGGCCCCTTTAAGAGCGGCGGCCCCTCCTCCCACTCCCTAGACCTATTAGAGCCTCTGCCCGGCGTCGGTGACTCAGAGTGTCCGCGGGAGCGCCGCAGCCCCAGCAGCGCACCCAGATCCCGAGGTCCGACAGCGGCCGGCCCAGACCCCACGCCTGGCAGGAGCCCGCCGAGAGCCAGCCGGCCCGCGCGCTCCGACCCCGAGCAGTCTCCGTCCTTCCGCCCGAGCCCCGCGCCCTTCCCGGGACCTCTGCCCCGCGGGCAGCGTTGCCACCCTGCCGGCCATGGAGACCCCGTCCCAGCGGCGCGCCACCCGCAGCGGGGCGCAGGCCAGCTCCACCCCGCTGTCGCCCACCCGCATCACCCGGTTGCAGGAGAAGGAGGACCTGCAGGAGCTCAATGACCGCTTGGCGGTCTACATCGACCGGGTGCGCTCGCTGGAGACGGAGAACGCAGGGCTGCGCCTTCGCATCACCGAGTCCGAGGAGGTGGTCAGCCGCGAGGTGTCCGGTATCAAGGCCGCCTACGAGGCCGAGCTTGGGGATGCCCGCAAGACCCTCGACTCGGTGGCCAAGGAGCGCGCCCGCCTGCAGCTGGAGCTGAGCAAAGTGCGCGAGGAGTTCAAGGAGCTCAAAGCGCGGTGAGTGCGCCCAGGTGGCGGCGCGCGGGGCGGGAGCGGAGGGGGTGGGCGGACCGTCGTCACAGTCCGACTCCAGCGGCCGGCCGATAACTTGGCCTTATAGTCCCCTCCCTCCGCGGAACTGCCCCAGCGGGTGACTGGCAGTGCCAAGGGAAATTGTCAAGACAGGACGGAGAAGGGAGGGGTCTCTGGCAGAGGGTGGCCTGTATAGGGAATGGTGGGGGCATCAGGGCCGAGTAAGGGCTGCTGGCGGGCCCCCACTCTGGGTGGGGGTTACCGGCCATTTGGAGCTAGGGTCAGGGGCTTGGGCAAAGAACAGCTGGCGCTGCCGGGTCTGAGAAATCTGGACACTCAGGACACATTGGAGTGGGTGAAAGGGTCCTGTTAGAACTTTCTTGGCTGGCTTGGAACTGTGCCAACTTTGCCCAGCCTGTGTCTGGACACATGATGCCTATTAAGACAGAGCACCCATGCTGGCAGATGTCCAGTGGTGCTGGAGAGAGGTTAGCCAGGCAGGGACATGGAGGTGACCCCCTCAGCACAACTCTTCCCAGGGTTTGAGGAGTTGGGAAGCTCTCCTCCACTCCCTGAATGTCTGGGACCTTCCCTGGCCTCTGACAGGCCCTCCAGGAGCACCGCTCCCCCGCAGCTCCCACAGCCCTTGGCCTGCTTGGCCCAGGAATGCAGGAGAGGGAGGGAGACAGAGGGCAGAGGCTCCCGCTCAGGAAGTTGTGTTATGCCCAGGTCTGGTGCACCCCCCCCCCGGGCCCTCTGCCTGGTGTCTTGGCCCTTGGGGGCTCTGCTCCTCCCTGCCTCTCTGCTTGGGGTGAGCCCCTTTCATTCCGAGCAGTCTTTGCTGTACCCCATCCACTTGGCCCCTGGCCGGTTTTGATCCTTGCCTTATGAAACTGCTGGAATACAGCGACACTTTTGAACGGCAGCCGTTGGGCGCTTCAAGCCACTCCTACCTCACCCATCCCTGCCCCTCCCGACCCCACCCTACTTGACTCCACCCTCTTTTCTCAAAAGGCCTTTGGAGCCTGGAAGTTTAGGCCACCTTTTCCTAGCCTCCGAGAATTTGCTTTCCTCCTCCCTGTTCCCCTTTTCTCTATGAACACCCAAGCCAAGGAGCACTGAAGGTGCTTGAGATCCCTGGGGTGGGGGGCCCCATGGCTTGACTTCCCCTCTTTCCCTGCCTTTCAATCCTCTTCTCCAAACTCTTGCTCTCCTCGGAGCCGGTCTGTATCCAGTGCTCCTTCTGCCCTTCACCGGCCAGGACCCTGGCCTAGTGGGCGTGGTGGGTCCATCCCTTCCTGAAGAGTAGGTGGTAACTGGGCACACAGGTTGACTTTTGGGGGGGACTTTTGGCAGAGATCACTCCTGTCGTTTGCAGTAGTGATATGAACAACTGAGCTAGCAGGACAGGCAGGAGGCAAGCTGGGGGGAGGGGGCGGTGCCCAGAGAATTAGTGTGCTAAATTAGTCCACCGTTGCCCATTCCTGTGAAGGGCATTCTCAGCAGGTCTTTCTGTGGGGAGGACATTGATCGGGAGACAGGATAAGTAGAGTCCGCCATCCCTTGCTAACCCAGCCACGCCAGGCTGTCTCCTTGGCCTCTCGGTGCAGCTGTCCAGGCCGGGGACGGCAGGCGGGTGTGTGTGCACGTGGGGCAGGGGCGGGGGTGGTGTGTGCACTGGTTATATTTAGCCATCTGCCTTTCTTCTCCCCCTCTGATCCTGGCTGGGGAGGCTGGGCTTCCGGAAGAGGGGGGTGGGTTTGCACACCTGGATCTCGGGCTGCTGGGAGGCAGGGTGGAGACAGAGGGGGCTCCGACTGGGGTGTCTGTCCCCTTCTCTGTCCCCAGTGGGAGGAGCCAAGATTGGTTGCTTCTTTTTGTATCTGCTGTGCCCAGGACAAGGCAGAGAAGAGTAGAATGAAGAATTTGGGAGAGGAAGAAAGGCATTGTCCTAACTCCTCCCACTAAAGCCTAGAGAGAAGGTGTTGTCTGGTTTAATGTTTAATTAGAGCTCAGAGTTCAGGGCCAGGCATCTGGTTGGGATGCAGAGCCGCCTGTAAGATCCCCTGGAAATCCCTGGCCCAGCCTGGTACCTTGACCACACCCAGGGCTTTAGGGCGCCCTCTCGTTGGGCTGGGTTATAGGCTCCAAGCAGAAACAAACCCCCCAGTACCCACACACACATTCTGTCTATTCTGGAGTCTAAAGTATTTGGACACCTAAGTGTGGCAAGAATGGGGAGCTGAAAACACCAGGGAAGGCCCCCCTGGGGTCCAGGCTTAGAGCTGGGCCCCATCCCAGGCATGACAGCTGGGTAGATGACTCAGATGCTGCCCCCCTCCCTTCCACCCTGGTGGCTTTACAAGAGACAGTGGGACACAGGGTGGAGACAGCAGATGTCTTAAAGGGAGGGATGGGGCCTGCATCTTCTCCCTGTGCTCCCCACTGCATCCTGGGAGCCCTTCCTGCCTTCTTCCTTGGGACCTCTGCTGGTGGTCTGGAGCCAGGGCCCCGATGCGCAGAGTGCAACAGGTGGTTGGTTCCAGAGCTGAGTCCAGTTATGGGGCTGCAGCTCGGGGCTGAGGCCTGTGCCTGCCCACGTGGAAATGGTGGAGGAAGGCTGAGTCAGAAGTGGGGAGATCCTGGGCCCACAAAGCAGAAGCTCCTCTTCCCCCCGGACGAGGCTGGGTGCTTGACAACTTCCTGTATTGTCTGCCTTAGGAGCAGTGGGGCAGGGCAGGGAAGTGGAGGCCCAGGCTCATCCTAGCGCTCATTGGGCCAGAGAGGTGCAGAGGTTTGTCCTGTGTCACACAGCAAGAGGGTGATGGGTCAGGACTTGAGCACAGGCCTTCTGACTTCCAGATGAGTGCCTGTACCACGAAGCCTGACTTTTCTGGCTTAGAGGACAGGGGGGAGGGTCCTGAGGGTGGGGCGGGGTGGCCAAGCCTCACTCCTGCTGTCTGGAGGATCCGCTCTGAGACCAGCGGGACCTGCCAGGGTCTGCTAATACCCAGCCTTAGCTCTACCGTGTACCTGGAAAGACCCATGACCCTGCCAGGCCGTGGATCCTAAGACAGAGCTCTGGAAGGCTGGGGATTCCTCTCTTGGGACTGTCTTGGGACTTGTCCTCGGAAGTGTCTACCTGGACCGGAAGGAGGCTGTGCCCTTTGGCAGAGACCTAGGGAACAGGGATGGAGGCCTTTGAGGAAACCTGGGCCCCTGTCCTCACCTGAGGGAGCCCCTGGTGCTATGTCTCACTGCCACCCCCCCCTGAAGTCGACGTTCTGATTCGAAGGCAGCAAAGGGGGGCACTACTTGAGGAGCCCAAGAGAAACAAAAGAGACAGTAATTCCTGCTCCGCCTCCCGACTGCCTTCCTGTGACCAGTGCCCCTGGCTGGTACCCGCCCCGGCCTCCATTCTGAGCCTTACTCTTGCGAAGGATATGCCCCTCATCCCCAGTCCTACCCCCAACCCGGCCCCCCGCCCCCGGGATTCAGTAGTTCAGTGTCAGGGCTGAAGCCAGGGACAGCTGGGGGAGCAACTGGTTGGCGACGCCTTCGCCTCCCAGCTGTGCCTCTGCCCACCGCCCCAGCCTTCCTCCCCCAGCCCCCCAGGTGGCTCAGAGGCCTGGCCCTAGGGCAGTGTGCCCCATTCCCGCCTCCCGGAGCCCCAGTGTGCTGAAAGTGACTCAGGCCAAGCTCTGGTGTTCTTGGGAATGTCCGGAGAACGGCAGCAGAGTCTCCCTTAATGAGGTCGCCCACCAGCAAAATGACAGGTAGTATGAGGTAGTAGAAACAGTCCTGGGCCTCGGTGTCCTTAGTCCTAGGCTTGGTCCTACTGCAACACTGCTGTGTGACCTTGAGCCAGTTGCCTTCCCTCTCTGGATTTCCCCAGCTATGAAATAAAGGGGTTAGAGCAGAAGGTCCCTAGAGATCCCTCAGGTTCCAAAGTAGCACAGTGACCCACAAAGTGAGAAAATAGTCCTCTAAAGTATCAAGCTATAAATGTTAAAATCAAATCCACTTAATGTGAATATAATTAATAGCTACTGCTATTCTCAATAGAAATGTTTCCCACAAGCCGTGGAATGAAAAGTACAGGCACGCTTCTTGATTTCTCACAGAAAGTTTGTGCGAACAGTTAATGATGTTCCTGGTATATGCTTTGTTTTTATTGCTAGTAAGAAGGGACACTTGGTCGTCCCGCGTCTCCTTCCAGGACAGCGGAAGGGGCCGTGTTATACAGGACGGGCTGAGTGCCACGGGCCCATGTTGGGGTGGCAGGGACGCCCTCCCTGGGAAGAGCCACGCCATTACCTCAGAGCCGGCCAGCCAGCGGGAGGTGCGGCTGACCTTGGGCTGCCTACCCACTTCCCTTCCTGCTCCCACTCCGGCTCCTCCAACCTGAGGTCGGGCTGTGAGGAAGTCCTGGAAGGGGACAGAGTTTGGGAAGGAGGGGGCAGGGCAGGGGTGCTCCCTGTCCCTTTGTGGGAGAGGAAGCCAGGATTCATTCTGGCTGGGAGCCCAGGCCGGACAGAGGAGCTGAGTCACGGTAGAGGGCAGAGTGGAGAGTGGACGGGAGACCCTGAGCTTGCTCGGTCAGAGAAGGAAAGGCTTGGGGTAGCCTTTTATCGAGAAGCACAGTGGGTGCTCTTGCCCAGTAGCAGCAAGAGGGAGGAGGGCAGAACTAGCATGGGGGACAGATGGAGGGGACAGAACACACGTGTCCCTTTAGGACTGGATCAGAGGAGCTAGAGACCCTCATAACAAGGGGCCCGTTTTCCGGGCATTGGAAGGATGGGGATTTCCAAGGCCCCCCCTTCTCCTGAAGCTCTAAGCTGACACCTCTGCCCTGAGAGAAAGTCCCACCTTCTCTGTTGGAGCTGGAATGCAGTGGGACCAGAACTCCTAGGTCCTCCCACTTCCTTTACTGATCTTGGGGTGTGGCTTCCACCCCTTCTTGCTGTCATTGGGTTAATAAGCATAAGCCACCAGATGGACAGTTAATGCATCCTAAAGAAGGGACTTCTGAGTCCTCTTCTTGTGGGGATCCCCTAAATGCCCCTCCCTTTGCCTGGTGGCCTCCCTCCCTCTCGCCCCAGGACATTCGACCTCTTCCCAGGCTATCCCCTCCATGCCCCTACTTCGTTTGGTCTGTCGCCAGGCCTCAGCCCTGCATTGCCATGACAACACAGGAGTGACTTCTAGAGAGATAGGCCAAGAAGAAGGAAAGTGGAGTTGGCAGGGACCTTGAGAGAGCAGTTGGTCAGGAAGCCGGCTGCCTGCTGTGCAGCACCCCAGGGCCCAGCCTCTGGCCGCGGGCTCCTCCTGCCGCGGTACAATGCCACGTTGATACACCCAGCAGCTGTGACTCAGGCCTGGCCCCCTGCCAGCCCCAGCGCCTCTGCTGGAGTTGCGTCTGAACATGTCCACAGGCCTCCCGGCCCTCTTCTCTGCCTCTACCCACCACCCCTCTCCCCGGCCTAGAGTCACCACCTGGCTTTGTCTGCGGGGGGGACAGGCGGAGCCCCGCGGCTCTGGACAGGGATCTGAGGGCCTTGAACCCCAGACAGGAGCAGCGGGGTCACACCCAAGAGAGGCACGTGGAAGCAGAGCTGTGCCCATGCCCGTGTGGGGAGGTCGGGCTGGGGTCCACCCTGAGGGGCCCACCTGTGCTCTCCAGCTGTAAGGCACTCAGACGGCTGCAGGGCCGGGAACACCCGTCCCACCTCACTTCTCCTCTTGAAGGGCTCTTCCTGTGAGCGCTGGTACCCTGAGGCCCACATGTCCCGTCTTCCCACATCCTGCCCAAACCAGAAAGTGGTGGCCAACCCACAGCCCAGCCAGCCAACCAAGTAGTGGTTCCTTTTCGGGGTGGGGAACGTCCAAGCCCATGGCTTCACACGCGGTTGTGGGAGTGTGTGCATCTGGGCGGCATCACTCTGGGGAGGCTGGTGGGGGACGCGCCTCCCAGGCTCGCTTCCTGGGTGCCTGAGCCCCGCCCTCTGCACACCCCCCACCCTGTGCACCCCCACCCCCCGGGCTGCACCACTGCCATTTTCGGTGCTCTATCCCTGTCTGCTGTGAGTGTCCTCAGGTGACCCCATGGGCAAGCCTTCCCTGGTCCAGGCCTTGGTTTCCCCAGCTGTGACTGTGCAGGGGTTAGCCCAGGAGGAGGCCCGGCCAGGAGCCTGGGGCCTGTGAACTGCTAGCCCGAAGGCATTCCAGGCACAGACAGGAAAAGCCCCAAACGTAAGTGGGCAGAGTGTAAACCAGCAGGTAAAAACAGGAGAGCACGTGGTGGGGGAGGGGGCAGAGCACCAGGGCAGGGCTGAGGCCTTGCAACCAGGGGGGTGGACTTGGATGGACAGAGGGAGGGAAGGACAGATTGCAGGGGAGGGGCTGCCGGAACAAAGGGACAGCTGGCCAGGGGAGACGCCCCTCACTGGCAGGAAGTCAGCTTGGGGCCGGGTCTGAGTCCTGGGAGGAAAGGGAAGAGCTCCCTGCTGCCTACAGCACCCACCCTGCCCTGCCCTGCCCTGCCACAGGGGGCGCCCTTCCCTGTGGGGCTCAGAGACCCTGCTCTCCCCTCCCCTCCTTCCTGTCCTGGGGTCGCCCAGCCATGGGGAACGCCATGTGCCGGTGAGGCTGAGGGGCCGGAGGGGACGGGAGGGAGCCCCTGCGGGGCTGGGCCAGCTCCTCGGAGCCCCTGTGGCCATCTTCCCCTCCCCCTTCTTATTTGGAGGGTGGCCTGAGGTCTCTGTCCCCCCTGTGTCCTCCTCAGCCCCGTGGAGGAGGAAATGAGGGCCTCCCCCTCGCAGCCTAGCAGGTTGCCCCTAGCAACGGGTCCCAAACAGGCCTGGGCGGCCTGGCTTCCGTATCTGGCGTGGGAGCTGGGCTGAGGAGGGTGACTCAGTGGGCGGGCCAGCACCCGGCCCCTTTGCTGCCCCCGAGGCCTGGCCCACCCACCACCTCCACTCTGCAGACCCACGGCCTCCGGCCGTACCCCGCACCCGCCTGTCCCTCCAGAGATGGGCTGTGGCAGCTGTGGGGGGAGGCAGAAACAGGATGCCCCGCCCTGCTGGCCTCAAGGGGCCCTGGATGCTATCCTGCGCTCGGGGGACCTGGGCGTAGAGACTGGCGCAGGACGTGGGCAGAGTCAGGGTCTCCCCTGTGAGTGCTGGAGGATTTCCCGACCCCTGCCTGGGTATTGTCTGCCCGAGTATGAGTCACCTGCAGCCCCGGCCCCACCCCGGCTGCCCCGCCCGCCGCTCCCCACCAGCCCCAGTGGCCCTGGCCCCTGAAGGGCTGACCACCTGGCCAGGGTCAGCTTGGGGTCCCTGCTGGGTCTGGAGACCCCAGGTGGGGGCCTAGGCCTAGGCTGGCAAGCCAGGGGAGCTGGCAGGCGAGGCGCTGGGCTCCACACCAGCCCCAGCCGTCTCTCGGGGTGGGCGTGTGGCTCCCTGGCCACAGCTCCTGAGGTGACAGTGGCTTCTTCCCCACGGCTGGGAACTCCCCAGCCTGACCGAGAGAACCGCCAGGGCCCCCCTCCCCTTGTGTGCTGGCGGTTTCCTGCTGTGGCTGCCCGGAGGGAAAGGCACATCGCCCCCTCCTCGTTGCTTTGGAGGCCACGCTCGGGGCCCGGGCTGAGGCTGCGCAGCCCTGCTGGCCACTCTGCTGCCGTTTGCCACCGGCCCCTGGACGCGACCCTCTGTGCTTCCTGTCCTCGGGGACACGGGGAGGGCGCCGGGCCGCACCATCTGCCCACGGGCGCGCTTGCTGCCTTCACATTCTGGTTCCTGTTGTTACCAACACCACCGTCTGGGCGAGCAGCGGGTGCGAGGAGCTGGTGGAGGGCAGGCGCAGCTCCTCTGCTCTCAGCCCGGGGCCCTGAGACCTGCGGGAAGGCCGGTTCCCTGCACGCACCCTCGGGAGCCCAGGCAGAGGAGGGCAGCGCGGGCAGGGGGGTCCCCGGCAGCAGGACTGACTGTGACCCTGGCCCCGGGTCGCCGCCTGCAGGCCGGCACCCAGCCCTTTACTTCGCCATCTGTGAAAGGGGGGGGCCTGCGCTGGCGGTCCCGTGCGCTCCTTCCCGAGCTCCCGGTCCCCAGGGTGGCGGTCGCACAGGCTGCAGGGTGGAGAGGCCTCTGCAGGGCAGGCCCTGCACCTTGGAGCCAGCCCAGGAGCCACAGGCCGCTCGGCTGCGCGGCTTCACTTTACCAGCGCTTTCTTCTTCTTCGTTCCTCCCCCTGCAGCTGGCTCAGCTTCGAAAAAGTTCTGAAGTCATGGAAAGTTGGGGCTGTGCTCCCAGCCAGGGGCTGGGCCGGATGGCAGCCAAAACCTGAGCTGGGTTTTGACTTTATTTTTAGCTTTTCTGGCTGAGACGGAGGAGGGGAGACATCCTCTGGTGCTGGAAGGGCCTCTTTTCGCAGGAGACCGCCGATCTTGCGTCAAACAGCTTGTTCTGATGTTCTGAGGCCTGGCCACAGCCGGCCAGACAAGCGAGCCTGTGGGGGGCGCCCCCACCAGGTCTTGGCGTTCCCCTCCCCCAGCTGGGTGTCACTATGTGCCCCTCCTGGTGGGGCCCTGCGGGAGACCAGTGACTCCGTTTGACAAGTCCTGAGCTGGGGGCAGGAGAAGCCGCCTGTCTGGGCTGCTCCCTGCAGAGCTTCCTCAAGGCTCCCGCGGCCTCACGCGGAACCGCTGGGTCTCTTGGAGCAGAGGGCTTTTGTGGAGGAGAAAAATGTTGGCGGGACCACTTTTCTTCCTTCCAGGACAGAAATCCAGAATTCCACCCCCACCCCCCCGCCCACATTTGGTTTTCCTTTCCCCTCCTGTCGTGTGGCTCATGCTCTGCACTGAGGAGTTAGTGGGGGCAGCCGGGCCAGGCCCTGGGCTCCTTCTCCTTCCTTCCGTCCCCGGGGCTGCTGCTTTCTCTCACCAGATATTGGTGAAGGGATCATCACATCTGGAAAGTTCTTGGGTTTCCCAGAGGTTTGGAACCTCTATGTCTAGTTCACTATCTGGCAAAAACAGTCAGGGCCCAGAAAGGGAGGGAGGTGGCAGAGGCAAGCTCCGTTTATTTGGTTATTTGGCTAAAGCTTTACCCAGTTTGAGGAGCAGGGAGGCTCCAGGTTGGAGCCCAGATGGACCTGGAGACCCAGGGGCCACATCTGGAGCCAGACGCTGAGGCTTGCTGAAGGGTAGGGCTTAGTATTCTCTCAAGCTCTGATAAGGCCCGGAGGGAGGGCGGCTGGAACCCTGTGCTGGGCCCCGATCAGGAGACCTAGACGGGGTCTGAGAAAGGGACGGGTGGCTGTCCTCCTCCCTGAGTTTTAACCAGACCGTCCCCATTGTGTGTAAAAGGGGCTAGGAGAAGTGACCCATACCTTTGGGGCTCCAGCTGTGGTAGGGAGGCATGGACCCCGGGGCTGGGAGCCTGGCTGTCTGGGCCCCTGCAGGGAGGAAGGCCTGGCCCAATGGAGGGTAGGTGGAGTCAGGGAGAAGGTTAAGGCCCTGTGTGGGAAGGGGCAGGAGACAAAGGTGGCCCTGTCTCTTTGGGAAGGAATGGGAGGAGAGAGAGGGAAAAGCATTCATCTCATGGGATTGTGCTGTGCCCTTGGCCTGAGGCACGTTCCTGAGCACTGAGTCATGGGAAGGGTAGAGAAGCAGGAAGGGGGTTTTGGGGACCTTGGGGGAAGTGGGAGTCCAGCCCCAGGGGCAGGCAGAGACAAACAAGCCAAGAGCGAGGCTGCCCTCTGCTGGCACTTTGCAGGACAGGCACGCTGGGCCTTGGCCGGGCTGGCCTCTGGGAGGGGACTTCTGGCTCCCCCGGTGGGGCGGGGGGGGGGGCGCACCCTGGTTCTCCCTGGGGACACAGACTCCTGCTCCTAAGCCCACTCTTCCCTTGCTTCCTTAGCAATACCAAGAAGGAGGGCGACTTGATGGCCGCCCAGGCGCGGCTCAAGGACCTGGAAGCTCTGCTCAACTCCAAGGAGGCCGCACTGAGCACTGCACTCAGCGAGAAGCGCACGCTGGAGGGCGAGCTCCATGACCTGCGGGGCCAGGTGGCCAAGGTGAGGCCACCCTCTGGGCCAGCCGTGACCCTGCCTCCCCCCCAGACAAATGCCAGCCACCCTACTCAGCCTTTCAGCCCAGTTGCTGTGTGTCCTGTCCCAGGGACATGGCATCAGGGCTGCACCCCTGCCGGCCCCCGGCCCCCCATGCCCACCTTATTGCAGCCCCTTCTGCTCCCGGGCATCCAGCATGGGCGCCTGGCCGGCTCGGTGGGTACGGCGTGTGACTCTTGATCTTGGGGCTGTGAGGGGGAGCCCCGCGTAAGGTGTAGAGCTTACGTTCATAAATAAAATAGCCCACAGCCACTTCCACGTAACTTTGCAAGGGATCGTGTGTGGCCAATCCCTCCTGGTTTGGCTGTGCTGTCAGAGAGCCTGAGTCGGGAGTGGAGGGCTAATCACATACGGGACGCATGTTCTTAATGCTTGGCACATATGTGGTTGTCTCTACCTTCAAAACCCTTCACCATCCGTCCTGCCTCCTGTCTCGTCTCGCAGGCTTGGGACAGAATCCAGGAAAGCTGGCTTGCTCCCCCCATGCTCAGAGCAGGGTCACGACCCGCATCAGTTGCCGAGCCCCCATCGTGGGCTCTGTCCCCTCCCAGGCCCTGCTGCCGCGCATGGGAGAGGCCGGTGGGCTGCCCGCAAAGCCTGGGCTGGGCCGGTCTCCTCCAGGCCCCCCGCCTCCAGTTCTGCCCTGCCCCCCAGCAGCTGGGGCTTTCGGAGACCAAAATCTAGGAAAGGTGGTCTGCCTCTCCCATGCCAGAGATCTTTCTGTGGCAGACAAGGGGGTACCTCTTCATGGTCCAGCTCCTGCCTTCCGGGGCTTCCCCTCTCCCCTCTTGCCATCCCCCGGCCCTCCCTGCCGGCTCTGGCAGTACTGATCCTCCTGAGGACCCTGCAGGGCACAGTGTGCCTTCACACCCCCAGGCTTTGCACAGACTCTTCTTCCCCGCCCCGAGGTCACCGCAGTGCCCCCGACCCCCAGGCACACTTTGGTTTCTTGCCTTGTGTTCCTTTGTACTTTGGACGCACTTCCTTTAGAGCCCTTGCTGTGTTGTGCAGAGAGGGATGCAGTGCCCGCCCAGAGCGGTTTCTGAGTGCGACGAGACACTGTGACCTCGGTGCTGGCCGAGGCTCTCTGTCCCCCGCACCGGTCTCTGTACACGTGAAGGGCTGTGCTGGACACGGACACTCTCAGCTTCCTTGCAGCTCTGATGTTCTGTGGCCCCTCTCCCTGACCTCGGCCCCCTTTCTCTCAGCTCGAGGCAGCCCTGGGTGAGGCCAAGAAGCAGCTCCAGGATGAGATGCTGCGGCGGGTGGACGCCGAGAACAGGCTGCAGACCCTGAAGGAGGAGCTGGACTTCCAGAAGAACATCTACAGTGAGGTGGGGACGGTGCTCCGCGGGCCAGAGGAGCGGGCTGGGGCTCAGCTGGGTGCAGGCCTTGCCTGCCTGACTGCCTTGTACTAGTGGATGGGGCAAGGGGGGGGAGTCTAGCACCCAGCCCCCAGGTTAAAGGAGGATGACAGTGGCTTCGCTCAGGCGTAGGCTTGGGCAGGGAGCTTGGCCCTCTGGGCCTCATGCTCCAAGGACTAGTTCTGATCTTGGCTCTGTGTCCCTCCCAGGAGCTGCGTGAGACCAAGCGCCGGCATGAGACGCGGCTGGTGGAGATTGACAATGGGAAGCAGCGTGAGTTTGAGAGCCGGCTGGCGGACGCCCTGCAGGAGCTGCGGGCCCAGCATGAGGACCAGGTGGAACAGTACAAGAAGGAGCTGGAGAAGACCTACTCTGCCAAGGTGCTTGCCCCTCATCCCATCCCCCGTGCCCTGGCCCCCACCACCTCTGCCCACCTGGGGGAGCAGGGGAGCTCTGGGTGCCCTAACCCCGTGTTCTCCCCCGAAGCTGGACAACGCCAGGCAGTCAGCTGAGAGGAACAGCAACCTGGTGGGGGCTGCACACGAAGAGCTGCAACAGTCCCGCATCCGCATCGACAGCCTCTCGGCCCAGCTCAGCCAGCTGCAGAAACAGGTGCTGCATGCCACTCCCCGCCCCGCCGCTGCTCTGGGCCAGGGGCCAGGGGCCAGGGGTCAGGCGGGATGTAGGGGAGGGCCCAAGGAGGGGAGGAGACGGGTGAGGGACAGAACGTGCCCCCAGGACCACGGACTGAGCGGGGAGCCTACGATTCAGAATCCAGGGACCTGGTCTGGCCGGCATGACCCTCGCTCCTCAGAGCCTTGGTGTCCCCGTTTGAAAATGGAGGCCCTCCTGACCCTCCGCAAGGCTCGATGTTCTGGCCAGCTGCGCGTTTGTGGCCGGGGGAGCAGGCAGAGATGTTGGTTAGATACAGGGGGGGCTTCTGGGCCGCCAGCCATGCCCTGGGAGAGCCCCCAGCAGGCTCTGGTGCAGCGGAGAGCGGGGGGAGGGCCGCGGGGCAGGGGCCCTGGAGCTGCATCCCGGCCCTGGGAGCTCACCTGGCCCCGGCTCCCCAGCTGGCGGCCAAGGAGGCGAAGCTGCGGGACCTGGAGGACTCCCTGGCCCGCGAGCGCGACACCAGCCGGAGGCTGCTGGCCGAGAAGGAGCGGGAGATGGCGGAGATGCGGGCAAGGATGCAGCAGCAGTTGGACGAGTACCAGGAGCTGCTGGACATCAAGCTGGCCCTGGACATGGAGATCCACGCCTACCGCAAGCTCCTGGAGGGCGAGGAGGAGAGGTGGGGCGGGGAGGAGCCGGGTGGGGGCGAGGGGCTGCCCGCGCCGCCCCTGGCCTGCTGCCCGCCTTGACCGGGCCCCTCTGTGTCCCCTCGCCAGGCTGCGCCTGTCCCCCAGCCCCACCTCGCAGCGCGGCCGAGGCCGCACCTCCTCCCACTCCTCCCAGACACAGGGGACGGGCGGCATCACCAAGAAGCGCAAGCTGGATGCCGCCGAGGCCCGCAGCAGCAGCTTCTCGCAGCACGCCCGCACGAGCGGCCGCGTGGCCGTGGAGGAGGTGGATGAGGAGGGCAAGTTCGTGCGGCTGCGCAACAAGTCCAGCGAGGTGGGCGCCCGGGCTGGGGCTGGGGCCGGGCAGGGAGAGAGCCCAGCAGGAAGGGCTGGCACTGGGACGGAGGGCTGCCCCTCCGAGAGGCAGATTGGGGCCGGGTGGCCCTCCACTGGCCACCAGACCGCAGCGTGCCCGGTGCCGCCTGGGTGTCCCCAGAGCTCAGCTGTTCTCCCTGAGGGACCCTGCCCAGCCCCGCGAGCAACATGGATCCGGGAGCCTGAACGAGCCTCCCCCACCTTTCCCTTCCCTTCCTCCCTGGCAGGACCAGTCCATGGGCAATTGGCAGATCAAGCGCCAGAATGGAGATGACCCCTTGCTGACCTACCGCTTCCCACCGAAGTTCACCCTGAAGGCTGGGCAGGTGGTGACGGTGAGTGGCAGGTCCCCAGAGGGGACTCTGGGGCGGCCTTGGGCGGGGAGGGGTTGGCCTGAGGGTGGGCACGCTGAACTGAGCACCCTCCTCGAACCCTGCCTCCCCAGATCTGGGCTGCAGGCGCTGGGGCCACCCATAGCCCCCCCACCGACCTGGTGTGGAAGGCACAGAACACTTGGGGCTGTGGGAACAGCCTGCGCACGGCTCTCATCAACTCCACTGGGGAAGTGAGTATGCTGCGGGCTGGCCTCTGGCTGGCCAGGGCTCCCCCAGGGGACCGGGTCATGGCCATTCTGTCCTGACTCCCTCCAGTGCAGCCCTGGGCCCCAGACTCTCCACCCAGTGGTCAGACCCGGAGATGCCCCCTGCCCCCAGCCGCAGGAGGAGGGGAGGGAGACAGCGGGGATTGTTAAGGGCAGATATATGCTCCTGCCCAGGGAGCCTGACGGCGGCCCGCCGGGAAAGGAAAGCTCGTCCGCCCCAGCGCTGCGGACCGCAGGCCGCAGGGGGTCACTGTGAGTGGAGCTGCCCCCTGCCCCTGCCCTGCGTCTGCCCCCCTGACTCCTGGGCCCGGTCCCCTGTCCTTGGCAGGAGGTGGCCATGCGCAAGCTGGTGCGCTCTGTGACGGTGGTTGAGGACGATGAGGATGACGATGGCGACGAGCTGCTCCATCACCACCATGTGAGTGGCAGCCGCCGCTGAGGCCAAGCCCACACTGGGCAGCCAGCCAGGCCTCCCCTTGCCAGAAATCTTTTCATTAAAGAATGTTTTGGAACTTCACGCGCTGCCCTGGCTTTTCTTCTCTCCTCCCTGCACCTTGAACAGGGAGCCCAGGTGTCTGGGTGCTCTCGGCTGGTCAGGACGGGAGTGGGGACTTCCGATGCCGTGAGGCATTCCTGTGGGAGCGGCGGACAGGGTCTGGATTTGTCTCCCAGGAAGGGGACGGGAGGACAGATGTGGGGCGCCCGGCCCTGCCTCTCTCCCCCCACTCCCGTCACACGCATTTCCTTTCTCTTCCCGCTCCTGTTGCATGCACGGCTCCCATTTCTCCCCTTGTTTCCTGCGAGAATGTTCTCTTCACACCTCCTGGCCCCATTTATTTTGCACGCCTGCTGCCCTACAAGCTTGCTCGCTCTCCTCTCCCTCTTCAGCTTCCAGTGCCTGGGACCCAGTCCCGCCACAGCTCCAGTTCCCGGTCCCAAGTCTTCCTGACCCTCTGCCCTCCTCCCAGCCGGGGCCCTCCCTCCGGGCCCGCGGAGCACAGAACCCGCCTTCCCGCCTGGTGGCGGCGCGTGCAGGAGCGCGCAGTCCCAGACTCGCCGTGTCGGCCTGAGCCTTGTCTTCCTCCTCAGGGCTCCCACTGCAGCAGCTCGGGGGACCCCGCTGAGTACAACCTGCGCTCGCGCACCGTGCTGTGCGGGACGTGCGGGCAGCCCGCGGACAAGGCTTCCGCCAGCGGCCCGGGAGCCCAGGTGGGCGGATCCATCTCCTCTGGCTCATCCGCCTCCAGTGTCACAGTCACCCGCAGCTACCGCAGTGTGGGGGGCAGTGGGGGTGGCAGCTTCGGGGACAGCCTGGTCACCCGCTCCTACCTCCTGGGCAACTCCAGCCCCCGCACCCAGGTGAGTGGTCCCTTTGCCTCCACACCCAGGGTTAGGATGAGGGGGCCCCCCCCCGTGGCGGGGAGGCCTTGTCTTCCGCAGCCCGGGGGAGTGGGAGCCTCCTCCCCAGCCCGACATCCTAGACAGTGGGCTCCTGCATCCTGCCCCTCCTGTCTGAGCCCCAGACTGGAGGGCAGGGGCAGGGCTGGGGGTGAGGGGAGGGCCACGGGCCTGTGCTGCCGCTCACACCTCTCTCTCCCTCCCTCCTCTCTCTCTCAGAGCCCCCAGAACTGCAGCATCATGTAACCTGGGACCTGCCGGGCTGAGGCTGGAGGCCTCCTGCTTCCTCCTCCCCTCACGCCCACCCCCACCCTGCACCTCGCAGGAGGGGGCTTGAAGCCAAAGAAAATACCCCTTTGGTTTTTTTTCTTCTATGTTTTTGTTTTTTTTTCTAAGAGAAGTTATTTTCTACAGTGGTTTTATACTGAAGGAAAAACACAAGCCAAAAAAAAAAAAAACCCTTCTATGTCAATCTCGCCTTGCTTTCCCCTGCCTCCAGGAAACTCCAAATCTGCCTTAAAACCAAAGAGGGCTTCTTCCAGAAGCCAAGGGAAAGGGATGCTTTTACGGAGCCTAGTTTCTGCTTCTCTGCCCCGCCTGCTGCCCCCGCCCCGGGGACCCGTGAACATGGTGCCGGAGAGGCAGGTGTGGAGTCTTCTCTGCCAGCCTCCGAGGGAGGAAGGTTGAGCCAGGCCCCTGGCCACCCCCATCCGTCCCCTACACCTGGCTGAGGCTCCGCTGCCTGCCCCGCCCCCAGCCCCCACCCCTGCCCCAGCCCCGGGGTGACTCCCAATGCCCACTACCAGCCACACTTGCTTTTTCTGTATTTCATTTAGACAACAGATGGGAATGAGGTGGGAGAAGGGGGAAGAACGTTTCTCTGAGCCTCTGCCTCACCTGGAAGCTTGAAGTGTGGGCTCTGTCCAGGTAGTAGAGGTCCAGGTCAAAGTGGATGCAGGGGAGGAGGGAGAGGGAGGGTACTAGAAAGGGTGGGAGCTGGCTGTGGCCCCATCCCAGAGGAGGAAGGTGAGAAGGGGGAGAGAGTGTGCGTCAGTGGTTTTGGCAAACACTAAGGAGCCCCTTGCCTCCCCATTTCCCATCAGCACCCCTTCTCTCCTCCCCCGATCAATACACTAGTTGTTTCTATCCCTGGCTTCTGTGGTGTCTGTCTTTGTCGATGGGCGTCACCGAGTGTCCTGAGGGGCAGACACACACACACACACACACACACACGTGCAGACCTCACATGGTCCCCCACATCCTCACGCTCACTGCTGCCCAGCCTCACCCCTGCTCTGGGGGAGCCGAGCTGAGGCCCCGGAGCACTTCAGGCACGCGGAGGACCCTCTGGTGGCTGGCGGGGAGAGGCTTCAGGAGTAAGCCGTGCCCTCCCCCTGCAGGACTCTGTCCCCACGGAAGTCCCTCAGAGAGGCAGAGCCCGAAGGACGGCTTGGCCTTCCTGCCTCCCTTCCGCCAGCACGTACCTGACAGCCTCCTGTTCGCGGGGGCGCTGAGCATAGAGAGGGGTAGGGATCGGGTCTGGGGGTCCTGGGACAAGAACGAGCAGGGAGGAGGGTGTGGGAGCTGGACGGGGCAGCAGGACTGACTTTGCAAGCAAGCGGTCGATGTCCCCTTGTGCTCAGCTCGGGACAGCACGGGCACCAGGGAGACTCCACTCCAGTGGAGGCCGAACGAGGGAGCTGCTGTGGACAAAGGGGTGTGTCAGGCTGAGCAGGAGCCTCTGGGAGGGAATGAGGAGCCTGGAGGGAGAGGGGGGCCCAAACAGGGACCGTGAGCTCTGGTAAGCAACCTTTCTCTGGCCTGTCATAGATTCCAAAGCATCTCCGCCCTATTTCAGTGGACCCTCATGGTCTTGACAGGTACTGTCCCCCTTGTCCCTGGGAACGGGGGCTCTGAGTTAGCTGCCCACGGCCACACGGCGGGTAGGTGGCCAGGATCCCAAGGCTCTGGCAGCAGCCCCTTCTCCTATGACATCACGCTCCCCTCTGAACAAAAAGCAGCGATGCTCAAGTGTAAGTGTTCCCTGGGGAAGGGGGTCCAGCTGCAGTGAACAGTCTGGGATGATGGGGACACCGACTGGAAAAAGCGGCGTGAAGAGGGGACAAGCCCTCCCGAGTCCCGCTGGAAACCCTGGTCCCCTGCGGGCTGCGGCCAGGTGCCCCTGGGAGAGAGATGCTGAGAGGGAGGGCTGTGCGCTTGAGGAAGCGGCCCCTGCCCGAGGTGCGAACCCCCTCCCTGCCCTGCCGAGGTGCCAGGGGCCCGTCCTGTGCACTTCCCGGGCAGGCCACCTGAGGGCGCCAGAGCGCCACCCGGGCGGGGTCCTCGGGGGCCAAGGCGGCTGCGCGGAAACCCTCGCAGCAGGTGCCTCCGCGCGCGCTTACGTGTCAGCTCGAGCAGCGCAGCCCCGCCCCCCCGACTCGGCTGGCCAAAGAGATTATTTAAAAAATATATATTTTGGGCGCCTGGGTGGCTCAGTTGGTTAAGCGGCTGCCTTCGGCTCAGGTCATGATCCTGGAGTCCCAAGATCGAGTCCCGCTTCAGCCTCCCTGCTCATCAGGGACCCTGCTTCTCCCTCTGACCCTCCCCCCTCTCGGGTGCTCTCTCTCTCATTCTCTCCCTCTCAGATAAATAAATAAAATCTTAAAATAATGTTTTTGTCAGATTGTAACCCTCTGTTAAAACTGAAAACGCAGGTAAATAGAAAGAAGGGGAAAAAAGTCATCCCCTTTCAATCACCCAGAGGCAACCACTGATGGATTTCTTTCTAGATGTTTTTCCCAGAACACATAATTTACATAGTTAGGATCTCACTGTGGTTTAAATTTTGATTCTGCTTTTCACAGCTAACATGCACGAGCACTTTCCAATGTTACTTCTAAGTTTATAAACATTATCTTTAAATAACACTGATTCTTTTCCTAGCGGTTCATTTAAGTGATACTTGGAGATACCCCGGAGAGGGTAGGAAAGGAAGAAAGCCACATTCTTCATCTACGCTTCTGCTACTGCACGATGACATGATGACCACCATCAACATTGTGGGGGGAGGCCTTCAAGCATTTTGTATAGTTTCCGATTTTCCCAAATGTATACGTACATTTACAAGGTTCTGCGGCTTCTTACAAATAACGCTTCCCAGAGCAGACATCTTTGCAGGCATCCCTGGGCATTTCCATGAAATAAATTTCAAGGCAGGACTAGCTGAGTCACAGGTGTGTATATTATCAAGGCTGTTGAAAACATTGCCAAAGCATCCTCCAGAGAAACTAGACTCTTCCCATTCTCACCTGCAGCCAAGCTCGCTGTTCCCCAAGCTCCTCCCCACACCGACATTTCTGTCGGTTTTAATCTTGGCCAACTCGATAGGAAAACGATTATACTTCATTGTTGTTTCAAATTGCATTTTGAAAAGAGGTTGAAATTGTTTTTTCATTCACATATAATGGCTATTTGCATTTCTTCTGGAGTAAATAATGTTTCTATCTTTTGCTCATGTTTTTATTGGGAAGATTATCGTTTTCATATTGGTTCTTAAGATTAGGGGAGAAAGCTCTCTCCCTCAACTTTAGCTATTAAGCTGTATGTTTTGCAAATATTTTATAAAGGATGTTTATTATATAAAAATACTTTAAAATTGCTAAGTATAAATATAACACCGCATTTCACCAATTGTCTCTGGATATTTAGATTTGTTCTCACTTTTGTGATTATAAATAATGCTGCAGAGAATGCCTTTTCTTTGATTACTTCGGGTAATTTCTTTTTTTAAAAATTTTTTAAAGATTTTATTTATTTATTTGAGACAGAGAGAGCACAAGCAGGGGGAGGAGCAGAGGGAGAGGGAGAAGCAGGCTCCCCTCTGAGCAGAGAGCCTGATGCGGGACTCGATCCCAGGACCCCAAGATCATGACCTGAGCCGAAGGCAGAGGCTTAACTAACTGAGCCACCCAGGCGCCCTGTTACAGGTAATTTCTTATGATGGAGTTTTGGTGCTGACTAGTCTGACTTTATTTATTTATTTTTAAAAGATTTTATTTATTTATTTGAGAGAGAGAGAATGAGAGAGAGAGAGCACATGAGAGGGGGGAGGGTCAGAGGGCGAAGCAGACTCCCTGCTGAGCAGCAGGGAGCCTGATGCGGGACTCGATCCCGGGACTCCAGGATCATGACCGGAGCCGAAGGCAGTTGCTTAACCAACTGAGCCACCCAGGCGCCCTCGACTTTATTTTTTTAAAGATGTATTTATTTATTTGAGAGAGAGAGCAGGAGCAGGGGGAGGGGCAGAGGGACAAGCAGACTCCCGGCTGAGCACGGAGATCCCAGGGGCTGGATCCCAAAACCCTGAGATCAGGACCTGACCAGAAGTCAGATGCTTAACAAACTGAGCCACTCAGGTGCCCCACTAGTCTGACTTTAAATTCGTGACCACACACCCCTGGCATCACCACCCCCTCCTCCCGTCCCTAGCCCCACCTCCTGTTTCTCCAAAGGACTATATCACACCTTCTCCTGTCTCTTCAAATTCCCCTCCTCATGCTCCGCTGCTGACCTGTTTCCTTCTTCATTCCAAAGAGACTGCTCTTGCTGAGGTCCCGTGCCCTGCGCGTGGCTGACCCACACTGGTCACCACTCAGTCCTCACCGCCCTTGTCCTTGCTTGTCATGGATGATGATGCTCTGGTCCCTGTCAGTCCCCACTGCTGGGTCTTCCTCTTCTCTCCCCATGGGACAGGCCGAATGCCTGGGCCCGGCTCCTCTCTGTCTACACGGGGGCCAAGACAGCCTTCCTCCAGGCTCACAGCTTTGAACACCATCCACACACTGCTGATTCCCAAGTGGACACCTTCAGCTCGTTCCTTTGCCCTGAACCCCAGACCCGATGCTTCTCCAGGTTAGCATGTCTGTACCGACGGCCCCGATCTGCTCTGCCCGTCGTCCTCCCCACGTCAGCTGGGGACCAGCCTTCACTCCGGCTGCTCAGGCTGAAGCCTGGAGTTCATCCTTAACTCCTCTCGTCTTCTCGAACCCCACATTCAGTCCCCCAGAAGACTCAGCTCTTTACAATAGATCTGGAAGCCAGTCCGCTCTCAGCACTGCCGTCCCCGCCTCCTGGGTGGATGACGGCTCCAGAGCCTTCCTAACACGGTCCATGTAGGATCCAAATGGCACGCACGGATGACGTGTGGAGCACGGATGACGTGTGGAGCGCGGCGTGACAACCCGGGCACCTCATCCCTCACCCCCAGGCCCCCTCCGCGCAAGCCGTGGCTGCCGCCCTGTTCCCAGAACCCACCAAGTGCTTGCCCGCCTTTGGTGGCCCCCCTCCCCCCTGGACCACTTTTCCCATCAAATATTTCCTTCATTTTCTCCAGGTCCCTGTTCAAATGTCACCATCCGGTTTCCCCGACAAAGTTTTCTAAAACAGCGTCTTCCTCCTCCTCCTGAGCCCTAACACTTCCCAGCCAGCCTCCCCAGTTTATTTTTCCCCAGGACACAGCACCACTGGACATACTGCATTTGCGTGTTTGTTCATTTTCTGTCTCTGTCCTGAGGTATGTGCACCCAGCGACAGGTGTTTTGGTCTGTCTTATTCATGCTACATCCCCAACACCTAGTGCGGTGCCTGGTCACACAGCAGGTACTTTGTCAGCGTCTGCAAGCGCAGGAAGGGACTCAGTCAGTGTGAGCAATTGTGCAGAGACCTGTTGTTCTTCTTCCCACTTAAAGTGAAGCACCCCAGAGCCAATGAGGAGAGAGGTTCAGCCAAAGTCATCCAGCTTGCTGGTGGTGGAGCCCAGGGCTCCCGACTCCCAGAAAATGCTGTGGCAACTCAGAATACTGTGGAATGACCCAGGAGGACTTTCCGAAGGAAGGGGTTCTTTTGGGGCGGGTAGGGAAGGACAAGAAGAATGCTATCAATGGGGCTCTGGGCCGGCTCACTCAGTGGAGCATGCAACTTGATCTCAGGGTCGTGTGTTCAAGCCCCATGTTGGGGATTATTTAAAACTAAAAAAAAGGGGCGCCTGGGCGGCTCAGTTGTTGAGCATCTGCCTTCAGCTCAGGTCATGATCCCGGGGTCCTGGGATGGAGCCCCGCGTCAGGCTCCCTGCTCAGTGGGGAGCCTGCTTCTCCCTCTCCCCCTGCCCCTCCACCCACTGGCGCTTTCTCGCTCTCAAATAAATAAATAAAATCTTAAAAAGAGAGAGAGATTCTATCAGGTACAAATGAGAGGGTAGTCCAGTTGCAGGCAGGAGGTCTAGTATATACTGGAGCTCGCGGGAAGGCGGGGTCCGGGAGGACTGCGGTAGAGCCTTCCCACACCCACAGGACTCCAGCAGGCCGGGTGGGGGGGGGGCTTCACGCTGTGGGCACTGCGGAGCCAGGGGGTTTGAGCCCAAGAGATGAGGGCCCCCGCTTCCTGCCGGCTCGCTGTCCGCTGTCTCTAAGTCTTTGTGCCTTTGCCCTCTCCTTACCCGCCTATTTCCCGCGGCTGCCCAGGCCCCTCTGTGGCCACAGGCAACCGGCTCGGTTGTTTGCCTTTTCCATGCCCTGCCGTCACACGCTAGCCGGCTGGCACGGGGAGGGGACGCACCTGGCCCTGCCTCCCTGCAGCCCGAGGCCCAGCACCACAGTGCCCTTACCCGAGGGCCAGAGGAGCACGGCTTGGAGAGGGACCCGGAGGTGCTGGCCTCCCCGCCCCCTCTGGGGCCAGGCCGCAGGCCCTCCCAATCCTTGGGCTGGTTCTCTGTGCTTGGTGCCAGTCAGTGCCAGCTGGCCGCTCTGGCTGGAGACGGGGGTGGCGCGAATGTGGGGGAGGGGAGGAAGTGGGCAGGGGCCCAAGGGGGATGGGGGCCGGGATCCGAGGAGGGGCCAGCGTGGGGGTCCCATGGGATGAGGGCAAGGCTAGACTGAGTCTGAGGGCGTCCGGAGCAGCAGAGGGCGTGTCAGGCCCCCAGTCTGGCCCTCCTGCCCCTGGCAAGTCTAGTCCCCTCCCCATCACCCACTTTCCTCCACAGCCACCCCCTGAAGCTGTCCCTGGCTAATTCGTCTTGGTCCCTTTAAGAGCTGCCTGGGAACTGGGGCACTGGAGGGGGCCGGCAGGGCCCCCACCCCCTCCCCCTGCCCTGCCCGCCCCTGCTCCGCCCCCTGCCCTGTACAGACTCGGCTGGAAGTCTTGGACGCCTGGGTTAGGGTCTCCACTGCTGGGCTGGGGGTAAGGCTGGAAAGTGGTGGGGAAGGGGGACTGTGGTCCCTGGGGGAGGGGATGGGAGGGTGGGATGCCAGTTTCCTAGCGCTCTGGGCATAGAGTATCTGTGCCAACTGCAGTGGATAACATAGGGGGTCCTTCTGGGTGGCCCTCCGGCCTCAGCCTGGGGGAAGGGCAGCTCCGGGGATCTTGAGGGGCAGAGCCCGGGGGCAGGAAGGCTGTGTCTCCTCACCCTCCACTCCCCCATCTCATTTTCCTGGAACCCTCCTGTGATAAATTCCATCAGTCACTCGCTGCGCCTCCTGCAATTAAAGACGTGGGGCCCTGGCACCCCATCTTCCCACAGGTGGGGAAACTGAGGCTAAGCAAGCCAGAGGAAATGGAACCATATGTGTGTTAGCAGGAGAGTTGGAGATGAGGCTGCAGGAATCTTCTCCCTCCTTCTCCACCCGGAAGAAGGGGACACAGGGCATTGGGCGTCCAGTTCACCCCAGCATAGTTTTCACCACAGCCACGGCCACTGCCCGAGACTAGGTCCCCGCTGCCTCACCAGGACAGCCTAGCCCCTTCCTGGAATTATGATTCCATAGAGCAAGACCAGGAGAGGCTCCCTGAAGCCTGCCTGCATAACCTGGGGTTGAGTAGAGGTGGGAGAGCCCGCAGGCTCCCTCCACTTTGCTTCCTTGGAGTATTTCAGAAACGTGGCCCTTACAATTCTGCTCCAGAGATGGCACCCAGTTCCCCTAGAAGGGAAGGAGGCAGAGGAAAGACCCAGGGACACTCCCAGGTGGGAAGTCCTTCTGTAGTCTGACCTCTTCCTTCCTCTTACACCACCAGCTCAGCCGCCTCTGGCCCTGCCACCGTGATTTCCCCGCCACCACGTGCCCCATCCAGGGGGAGAAGAGCCTGAGCGAGTGGGCACTCTCTGAGGCCCCAAGGCCAAGGGGCCGCCGGCAGCGAGGAAGGGTGGCCGTGGGGGGCGGTGATAGAGCTCTGCTCAGAGTCCACTTCTGCTTTCAGCACAAGCCATGCCCAACCGGCCCCGCCCCAGGCGGAAATGCTCAGCCACGCCCCCCCTCCCCCGCCCCCGAACCCAGACCTAAAGGGGAACCAGACTGGGCCTCTGAAAGCTCAGCCTGGGGCCGGCACCAGCACACTTACTTCCTTCTTCTTAGAAACGCTATTTAGTCTAGAAATGAGCCCAACTGCTCCCAGGTAGGCTAGAAAGCTATGATTTTACCCATGTGAATCAGAGAGAACCAGCACGCTGTCTGGGGTCACACAGCAAGTTCGAGGTGGCCTGGCCTGGGACCCAGGGCTCCTGCTTCCCGGCCCCCCGGTGCCTCCTCCCCCAAGCCCGGCGAGGCCAGCCTGGAAGGGGCTTTGTCCGCTGCTCATGTTGCCAAGGAGGGAGCTGAGGTCCAGTGGGGACAGGAGAGCAGGGAGGGGTGCTCAGGTTCGGGGCTGGGAGAGGACACAGGCCTGGATTCAAAGCTTCCAGCCAGACCCCTGCTTGCCCCACAAGAGGTGGGAAAGAATCCAGCTCAGGCTTGTCTCTGCTTTATCCCCATCTGTTCTAGACCTTTGGAAAGTCCCTTCTGCAGTCTGCCCTCAGCCTTCCTCTTATAGCATAGCCCTTCTCCTCCTGACAGGTCTCAGAGGGCTAGCCAAAGAAGGCTCTGGTGCAGTGGCTTGGGACGAAATGGCAGAAGCTGAGCGTGGCAGTGGACGCCTTTCTGGGCGAGTCAGGAGGCTAAGAACAGAAGAGAGCTTCTTAGCCTTCTTGACAGAGACCCTGCCTCTCAGCTTATTTGCACAGATATTTGTATGTTCACTTGCCTCCTCCTTGGCAAACTTAGTTTGCATGGGGTCAGGCTGGCTGGCGGCCAGGTATGACCTCCTTGCCCCTTACATAGACACAGTTCCCAGGGAAGAGGGAAACCCAGAGAAACTGACCATTGAGAGCATTTGGCCCCACATGACCCCTGAACCCAGCTGGGGGACGTCTGTGAGGTGATGCCTGCTTGACAGGGGAAGAGGGAACTGAGCAAGGACCCCCCCAGGGGCTAGTGTTCCCCTCCTGCCTCCCCGCCACATCTGGAGCCCCACCTCCTCCCCACATGTGGATCCATGAGCCACAGAAGGTGGGGCGCAGGGGGACACGGGTAGGAGGAGGAAGAATATGGGGAGATTCTAGTCCCTCCCACTTAGAGATGCGGTCGCCATGGTGACTGAGGACCAGTGAGGCGGGATGGGGTTGAGGATGGGGGGCGGGGGTGTGGCCGGGACGGAGGCACTGGGAGACAGGAACTGCCTGGCATTCCAGGGGGAGGGAAGCACTGTGCATCCCCAAGCTGCAGGTAAGGGAGCCAGAAAGCTGAAGGGAAGGGGCGGGCCATTGTCTGGCGCAGGCTCTGCCCCGAGGAGGGGGCAGACTGAGGGGTCGGGCCATTGTGTGCGGTACTCAGCTCAGCCTTCCAGCACAGTCAGACTGGAGGAGGAAGCCTAGGAGGCCCTGGGTAAAGGGTTAGGGGGGATTGGGCTGGGCCGGTGGCAAGAAGGCTGAGAGACAGTGTGTGGGTGGGAAGAGGTGTGGGGTTGCTGGGGGAGTAGAAGCTAGGGACATCCCTTGTGCCTTACACACAGTAGGCACCTAAATATAAGTTGATTTGACTTGTTTGTGACCATAAAAAGAGGGCAACAAGGGGCAGGGCAGGTGGGGCTGAGGAAGGCGAGCCAGGGAGCTGATGTTCCCCACAACTGTGCTCTTCTGGGGCTGCCCTTGAGGCTAGAAGGGAGAGGGGGTAGGGGGTGTTGGACCTGCTAGGTCACTGGCAAAGCCTTTCTCCCCACTCCTGGAGCCCCTCTCAGTGAGGTATCCATGTGCCCCGGGGCACCGAAGAGACAAAGTGCCCCAGAGTTCTCTGGGTGAGCACGGGGTGGGGAGGGAGGGGGGAGCATGGGGTAGGGGTCGGGTGGGGCGGTGAACACAGGGTAGGGATGCAGGGGGTGAGCACGGGGTAGGGGTCCAGAGGGGTGAGCACGGGGTAGGGGTGCAGGGGCATGAGCACAGGGTAGGAGTGCAGGGGGATGAGTACAGGATGTGGTGCAGGGCGGTGAGCACGGGATAGAGGTGCAGGGGGTGAGCAGGGGGTAGGAGTGCAGGGGGTGAGTATGGGGGATGGGTACAGGGGGATGAGCACGGAGTAGGGATGCAGGGAGGTGAGCACAGGGTAGAAGTGTAGGGGGTGAGCACGGGGTAGGGGTGCAGGGGGTGAGCACGGGGTAGGGGTGCAGGGGGTGAGCACGGGATAGGGGTCAAGGGGGTGAGCCTGGGGTAAGGGTGCAGGGGGTGAGCACGGGGTAGGGTGGAGACCAACATCTCCGTCTGCCCTCCCACCGCTAACCCCCAGAGCTTGATCTCCACCCTGGACCAGAAAGCTTGGCAGGAAGGGGCTACAATCTGATGTGATCTAGGGGTCATGGGGAAAGTGTCCCCAGAGGAGATGGACCCTGGGGTGGGGGACAGGGTTGAATCAGCACTGTTGTTATTAGGGGGTCCCCAGGCTGAGGAGAAAGGAGCTGAGGGACCCCCCCATTGGGGCTATGCAATGTCACGGCCCCTAAGGCCTTGTCCCTTCTTACCACCCCCCGAGCTGAACTTCACCTGCTGGGCCCTGGTTCCTTCACTGGGACAGGAAAGGGGGAGGTGGGGCCCTGTCAGCGGGGAGCTTGCTCCATGGTGCTGCTGCGGCAGGCAGGACTTGCTACGTCGTCCCCCGGCCTGGTGCAAAAGGAAGATGGGGGGCGGTCCCGTGCTCAGAAATGATCAGCCGCCTTCGGGACGGCAGCAGGAGAGCATCAGATCCTGCGTGGGCCCTTCTGAACGGGGGCTCCTGTGACTGCCCAGGTCACATGCCCCTGAAACCAGCCTGGCGGTGGGCTCCCCAGCTGCAGTGGAGCCACGGCTTCGGGTCGTGGCGTCTGACTCCGGGGCCTCCCGTGCAAGAGGGGCGGTGGCGGGGCAGGGTGCCCTAGCTCCTGGTCAGGCTCTTCCAAAGACCTTGACGGCCCTGCTGGATGTGGGGCTCGTGCCTTGACCTTACGGCCAGAGAGGTTTCTGTTCCCTCTTGGGTCGGGAGTCCCCTGAGATACATGCTCTCAGCCCAGAAGAGCTGAGCTTGCCGCCCCCCACCCCCACCCCCCGGGGGCTGTCTGTGCCGTCCAAGTGGCCCAGGGCTAGGGGAGGACCGCAGGAGTCAGCCCTCCCCAGACACTGGGTGGCCAAGGGATTCGTTTTAGGCAGATCTGAGTCTAACTTGGCTTCTCCCTGTGTAGCCTCCCTGAGCTTCACTCTCCTCTCCTGTGAAATGGGACCATGGTGGTGCCTAGCTGCTAGAATTCTTGGGTGGACCAAAGCTTAATAATGCAAACTATTCATGTTGGCTGGAGGGCCTGGGAAGGTTGACCTGGGCCGGAAGGAAAATTCCTGGGTCTCTGGGGAAGGAGGACGTGGGACCGGCATGTTGAATAGAACACTTCCAGAGGCAGAAACAGGGCGTCAGGCTGGGAGCGTGGGGCTGGAGCTGCCTTCCCCACATGCCCCCCCATCGGAACTCCTCCCTGTGACCCAGATAAGCTAATCTGTTCAAGCAGAGAGGCCCAGGGCCAGGGCAGGTCCCAGTCTGGGCTGGGAGGTGGGGAGGCGCAGAAGGTGGGGTCCAAGTGGGAGTTTCCCGGGACTCTTGGGAGTCTGAAAGGCTTTCTCTAGTGGCTTGGCCCCTGGCTTCTCCCAAAGACCTGGCCACCAGCCTCCGTGAAAGTCTGGGAGAGTCGACACAGTTGTCAGGAGGGGTCTGGCTGAGACCAACCCCCAGGCGAATGGAGGGGAAATGGGAGCAGAGAGGCAAGGACAGTGCGCGAGGGGCCCTGACGGGGAAATCTAGGGGGCGACCTGGGCTGCACGGTGGCAGGAGGGGAGGACTCCCTGCCTGAGGAACGGGCATCTGAGAAGGAGTTGGGTCCCCGGTTGGAGCAGGTCAGCCCCGGGATGGCTGTGCTCCTAAACCAGCAGCCAGCCAGTTTCGGGCTGAGTGGGCCGGAAACTACCCACTTTATAGGTTGTGAGCCCTCGGTGCTAGACGCCTCATTAGCCCTGCATTATGATGGGGCTCCCCCCTGGGGCCTCCAGGGGCAGGCGAGCCACCACCACTGGGGGGCTGGGTGCCTCAGCTGTGTGTCCCCAAGGTGTGAGCTCAGATGGGACTTGCTCTGGGCCTCCGCCCGGCCTGCTGCTGGCCCAGGAGTGACGGGCACCAGGCTGCAGAGGGACTCGGTCAGCACGGCCACGGGTGAGCCGAAGTCCTGGGGCCATCTTTCAGGACCGCGGCCCCGCTGGAAGCGGAGGTTTGCAGGTTAGACCACGGCAGGCCCTTCCGAGTCCTTAGCAGTGAAGAGACCTCATCTTGTGGGTGAGCCAAAAGAGGAACAGAGATGGTGTCATGTCTCCTCCCTGTGAGGGCTTGAGCAAGAGAAGTCACTCCGGGGTTGGTCAGACAGGATGTGGCATGATGGAGGGCAGAAAGGTGGCTGACATGACCAAGAAAGTTTCTGGCCTTTTCAACTTTCTGGATGGACGGAGAGAGAGAGGGAGGGAGGCTGAGGCGAGTCTCCTTTCACTGCCCGCCCAACCCCACCCCCAGTTCCGCCCAAACCAGGGATCTGTCAGGACTCGAGAGGTGGAAATTCTGGTTTTCCGGAGCTCCCGGTGCTGGCTCTGGCACGATGGGTACCTGGAGGGCCGCGCTCCCGGCCCAGCCGGGCTGAGCCCTCCATCCCCCACCTCCGGGGCCTGGGGACCCCCTCCACCCCAGAGTCCGGACACCCGGGGTTCTGCACCGTGGCTGGCTCGAGGGTATGTGGGATGAGGCGGGTGGCTGGAGGTTGACGGTCCAGGGGACACAGATGCAGCCACCCAGGGAGACAGAGCCCAGGGAGAGGGCCAACTGCAGGAGCTCCGGGCAGTGCTGGGAGCCTGCGTGGCCCTGCATCGCCTCCCTGCAAGGAGAGGGCCAGGTAGGCCTGGGCATCGAAGACCTGCGCCCGGCTGGGGCCAGGGGAGAGGTCAGAGCAGGCCAACTCAGGCCTGCCTGGGTCATTGGAGGGCAGGGGTGACGGTGCGGCCCCAGGGTGTCCACAGATCTGCAAGTGCTGGGAGACATGGGTCCGATTAACCTGTATTTTAAGTGCAGGGATCTGCTCCTCCCGGGGCCAGGCAAGGGTTTGGGTTCTGGGCTACGGGGAAGGGAAGGAAAGGAGTAGACAGCAGGGAGGACTTCCAGAGAGTAAGGAGAGAAAAGGCAGAGCAGGGCGAGTGGTGGCCAGAGAGCAGAAGGGCAGGCCTGATGGCAGGACTCCGGCCCCGAGGCGAGCGCGAGGCAGCCAGCTGGCGTCCGTGCGTGATGGAAGCGCGACTCTGAGGGCACTCGGCAAAGGAAACTGTCCCCTCCCCGGCACCCCCACCCCCACCCCTACTTCTGCTGCCTGGGGCTCTCCCATTGGTGCCTGGGGGGGATGTGGTGAGGATGGCTCACCCAGAGAGCGCCTGGGTGCCTGTTTCCCCAGAGCCATCTGGTGACAGCCTCCAGCTGAGCATGGCCCTCCTGGCCCCGGGCCGGGACCCTTGGAGCCTCCTGGGCTTTTTCCTGTCCCAGCTGTTTCTGCCGCTGCCGCCGACTGCAGGGGCCGCTGGGCAGGAGCCCCTGCCCAGGATCACTTACCAGGCAGGTAAGAGTCGCAGGGCTGTGTGCCGGCCGCCAGCCGAGCTGGAGGGGCGGAGGAAGAGAGAGCCCGAGGGAGAGGGACGCAGGGAGGAAAGGGACTTGGGGAGCACCAGAGACTGAGGAAGCAGTGAAGAAACTGTGGCCAAAGACTGAGGGAAGGGAGGGCCCAGAGCGCTTCTCGGAGATGGTGCTTTTTCTTTCCCTCACCTCCCAGCACGGTCATCAAGCTGGGCACTTCAGACCCCTAACTGCTTCCTCGCCCCCACACACCCCCAAAGCCAAGGCCCACGCTAGAAGGTCATCCGTGGACCTGGCAGCCCGGAACCCGGCAGCCGCATGGCGACCACACAGATCACACCGGACCACACCGTGTCCGGTACCGTGGACACCGGGGTTGAGAGAGTCAGGGCAGCCCCCTGGGGTGCGGGCTCTGGGACGCTGTCGGCTGGTTTCTTGCTGAGGCTGCGGGGGCCGCTGGGCCTCCCACCTCCAGGGAGAAGGCTCAGGGAAGGACTTGGGCTCTGCAGGAGGTGTGGGGGCAGGGTCTCCTGAGCATCGGTGTTGGGTGCTGGAATTACCAACAGAGACAAGACTCGGCCCTGCTCAGGGTGCTCGCAGGCCTGAGCGGGGAGGCAGGTGAGCAGCCAACCGTGCTAAGGGTGGTCAGCTCGGTGAGCGAAGGACTTACACAGCTCTGAGGGAGGCCGCCCCTTCCAGCACCTTGCCAACTTCTCCTTCTGGCCCTGAGATGGTCAGAGCTTCCAAAGGTGACGCTTAGCTAGGCAGTCCTCTAACTAGGGCCAAGGTGCGAATGCACCCATGAGGGGATGGAGCAGCCTGTCCCTGTCGCTGGTGCGCCCCTCCGGGAACCAGCTCACCCCCTGCCCCCCCCAGGTGACATCCAGGCAAGTCCACAGGGGCCTTTGAAGACATATGTGTCTGCTCTGCTCAGCCTGTGGCTGTGATTCTAGTGGTCGAAGTTTCCTGCTAGAGGAGGGGAAGGGGGGTTGGTGAGTGTGATCCTACAAGCCACAGCTACCCCAACACACCGTCCTGTCTGTGGCTCCCAGTATCTTCCTGTCTGTCTGTCTGCCTTCTGCTCCCCTGCTCCTCCCTGGGGGAGGACCAGCGCATCCTTCCCCTGCCCCCTTCGCCCCTCCAGGCCTGGAAGAGTGTCGACGTGCCTCGCTCTATTTCCTGTCCCTTTGTCTGTCTCTCGGGTGCAGGCCACCTTCATTAGCCCGTCATTAGCCTGTCTCTGGCTGCCTCTCCTCTCCCCTGTGGGCTCAACACAGAGCTCCTACACCACCAGCAGGCAGGATGGGGATGCGGGGAGGGGGAGCTGCCGATGGAGAGCGGGTCCAGCTGCCAAGGCCTGGGGAGCACACTCTGCCAACCCTCCCCCCACACCTTGACCTCAGAAGTCAGTTGCCTGCCCACCCACTCCTCATCACTCACCCCTTCTCATCACTACCCAACAGGGGAGGGACGCAGGGCTCTCAGCCTCTTCCACCAGAAGGGCCTCCAGGATTTCGACACTCTGCTCTTGAGTGGTGACGGAGGCACTCTCTACGTGGGGGCTCGAGAGGCCATTCTGGCCTTGGATATCCAGGACCCAGGGATGCCAAAGCTGAAGAACATGGTGAGGAGGCTGGGGACAAAGGGTGTGGGCTGGAGGTGGGGGGGGGCTGATAGCTGCCCCGTGCCTGGACCGTCCATGCGTGACTCACTGCCCAAGTGCTGTCAGCTCCAACCGGCGGTAACCAGCAACTCCCGCTACATATATCCAGTCTGGAGAACAGAGCAGAAATACCATAGTGGTCTCACTATTTGCTGGTATCATGCATTCTGGCTGAATAATATTAATTGCTAAAATTGCTGATGTGGAAATCATTGACATATGACAGAAATACTGACTCAAATTATATCAATAATCTGATATCCATCCACTGGTAGAAATCACCGAAACTTCTGTATTAAATTATAGTCACCCTACTAATGGGAACAATGTGAGGAAGAGAGGGGGAAGGAAGGAAAGAAGGAGGGAGGGGCGAGCAATTACTGAGCATCTTCCTTGTTGTGTCTCTCAATGTGCGGTCTGTGGACCACCTGCGCATATGGGATGCTGGTTGAAAATGCAGATTCTCTGAGGTGTGAGCCAGGAACTGACATTTTAAACAATTTCCCCAGGAAATGTGTGGTTTGTCAACTGCTGCCCTGCATAGCGTGCATTGCATTAGGTACTTTACATATGTTCCTGGCTGTGCCCTCCAGAAGCTTGTGTGCTTGACTAGGACCACTCAACCAGTAAGTGGCTGAGCCTGGATTCGAACTCAGGTCTGGTTCCACAGGCTGTGTGCTCCCACAAAGGTGCGCCCTAAGGAACACCACTATCGTCAGAATAATAGCCATGGTCATGAACTGATGTTATTAGAGCTCATGTCACTGACCACCATGCCTGCTGGTGGCTTCAAACTAGACCCAAGGAGAGGACAGCAGGTCAAAGCTAGAGCACGAGACCTCACATCCTCTCCCTCCTGACCCCCCGCTGCAGATACCCTGGCCAGCCAGTGACCAAAAAAAGAGTGAATGCGCCTTTAAGAAGAAGAGCAATGAGGTAAGTGGAGGTGGGGGTTTAGGGGCTCTGGGTGGAGAACCCCAGAGTCCCCAGACCATCACTGGATGACGTCAGGTTGGGCAGGTAGTGGAGGAGGTTTCTTTCCATGGTGATCGTCTGCGCCACGTTCTGTGAAGACGTCCAGGGACTGCCTCAGCAATTCTGGGCCCTCTACCCCCTGGGAAGTGGGGGGCAGTCCGTGGGGCCCAGGTGTGTGGGGCAAGTAGCCGGACACCCGGATTCTCCATCTCCCCAGACACAGTGCTTCAACTTTATCCGTGTCCTGGTCTCTTTCAACGTCAGCCACTTGTACACCTGTGGTACCTTTGCCTTCAGCCCCGCGTGCACCTTCATTGTGAGTTACGGCTCCCAGCGCTCAGACCCAAGCACCCCTTCTCACACCTAACCCCCTCCTCTCTAGCTCTGGAAAACCCTGCTCTTCTGGATGTGGGACCCTCGTGAGCTTCCTGGCCCCAATTCCCCTCCGCGTCCCTCTCCCTCCCTCATGCCCCTCATTTCCCAGACATGAGACTCTGGCATTCTGGCCCCCAGCCTCTCCCCCCCTTTAGGAACTCCAAGATTCCTACCTGTTGCCCATCTCCGAGGACAAGGTTGTGGAGGGGAAAGGCCAAAGCCCCTTTGACCCTGCTCATAAGCACACGGCTGTCTTGGCAGGTGAGTATCCCGTTCCTGGCATCCGCTTTCCGGGGTCATTCTGTGAAATATGGAAGCTGACAGTTTCCTGAAAGGGAACAGAGGGAGCGGAAGCCAGGAGCCTCTGAACACCAGATCAGAGGGAGACTCAGCACCCCAACCACCAGCTCCTGCTGATGCTGCCACAAAGGAGGTGGAGAGAGACAGGGAGAGAGAGTTCACACAGGTCTGGTGAGGGTCTTGGGCAGAGAAGAGGCCTGAGCTTCGGCCATTTGTTCCATAGAAGTTACAGAGAAATCACCCTCTGTGTCCTCCCAGACAGACTCCCCATCCTGGCTTCCGGGATGAGGTGGCCTTTGGCTTTTGAGTGGGACCTCAAAAGTTAGGTAGATGCGCACGGAAGATGTTCCGGGAAGAGAAGGGTGGGACCGAGGTGTGGAAACAGAAAACACGGCCACCTCTGGGGAAGAAAGAGTGATTCTATTTGGCAGGTGGTTCAGGTGGGTGTGTGAGGGGGCAGTGAGAGAAAGGCTGGACAAGGCCCGCACACGGAAGGACATGATGGGTGGCTCTTCCCTGCGGCAGGGTTCCCTGACAACGGTGCTCAGTGGGGTCTGCCAGCTGGGCCATGGGCGCCACAGGAAGGTGGAGGGCACAGGAAGGGGGCCGGAGACCCACGTGGGTACTGGCCCGGGTCAGAGGCAGGTCTGAGGAGGGCAGAGGCTCCCTCCAACCAGGAAGCCTCCCGCCCTCTCCCCTAGATGGGATGCTCTACTCCGGCACCATGAACAACTTCCTGGGCAGCGAGCCCATCCTGACCCGCACGCTGGGACCCCAGCCCGTCCTCAAGACTGACAATTTCCTCCGCTGGCTGCAGCGTAAGGACCCGAGCCCCCAGCACAGGTCTGGCCCTGCCCCGAGCGCGGAGACCTGGCCCGGCCCCGAGAGCCGCGTTGCTGCACTCCGCCGTCCTCCGTGCAGCGCCCCCTCTGTGCCGGGCGGCCCTGTTCGGGGGGTGCAGTCCCCGCCCCCGTGAAGCGACGGGAGCAGGCGCCCCCAGGGCCACCCCTGGCCAGCCGCGGGGCATCCCGTCGGGAGGCCGGCCGCTCCAGGCCCAACCCTAAGCCTATGTGCCCCGCCCCGCAGCGGACGCCTCCTTCGTGGCAGCCATCCCTTCGACCCATTTCGTCTACTTCTTCTTCGAGGAGACAGCCAGCGAGTTCGAGTTCTTCGAGAAGCTCCACACGTCCCGGGTGGCCAGAGTCTGCAAGGTCTGCGGCCGGGAGGGGGCGGGGCTGGCCGTGGGGGGAGCCAATGGGGAGGTGGCAGAGGCGGGACCGAGCGCCCAGGGCCCAATGGGGGCGGGGGCGGGGCGCGGTGGGCGCGGCGTCCCTGACTCCGCCCCCGCGGCCCTAGAACGACGTGGGCGGGGACAAGCTGCTGCAGAAGAAGTGGACGACCTTCTTGAAGGCCCAGCTGCTGTGCTCGCAGCCCGGGCAGCTGCCCTTCAACGTCATCCGCCACGCCGTCCTGCTGCCCGCCGCTGCCTCAGCCGAGCCCCGCGTCTATGCGGCCTTCAGCTCTCAGTGGTGAGCAGCGCGGCGGGGACGCGGGGGCCGCACGCGGGTCGTGGGGCCCAGAGCGCTCACTCCACGCACTTCACCTAGGAAGGCATGTGCCCGTCACCACGTCCCAGGAATCTGACTCATGCCCTTCGTGTAGATGGGACAAATAAAGCTCAAAGAGGTTCTTACTCCTTTATATCCTGCCCGGTTCCAAAAAGGGTAGGAGGCAGCTCACGGAAGGCGAACATTGAGACCAGATAAGATCAAACCGATGAGGAAACGGGAGTAAAAGGGGAATAAGAAGGCAGGGATAGGGTCAGCACATCACAAATGTTTGTCATTTATGCAGCGTTGGGATGCTGGTTACGAATTTAGCTCTGAGCTTCCTAATGGCCAGAGCAAAGAGGGAAACACCATCAGTGTCACTAAGATAAAAATAGTCATTGCTTGGAGGCTGAGAAAAGTTCATTGCATCAAAATATCTGGCCCCACAGTGTTTAGGTGTCTGCTGTCCGTGGGTCAGGTACCAAAGATATCTGCTGTAAGCAGGGGCTGGTATCAGTGGCATCCAGAACTGAGAACATGGTGTGTGCCACAATCAGGTTAAAGAGAACAAGAGAAACCTGTCTCCACAGACCAGGGCTAAAGGAATAGAAGTAGCCTCATAGTCGGGCTCTGGTTGGTTTTCTGAGGATCAAGAATCCAGGGGACCCAAAGGAGCAGGGCTTCATCTGGAGCCTGTCAGGATCTGGTTACACCGCCCCTCCCATGGGTACAGTCCAGCCTGGGCAAGACAGGCAGAAGCCACCCCAAGACCCGAAACCCGGTTAATTGTCCTTAAGGATAATCCTAAGACGGGCTCTCCTAACCCTTATCACCACGGCTGGGGGGAAAGTAGGCAGCAGCAGGCCAACCCGGCCCTCCACACTCCTGCCCTCCAGGGCTTTCTCACAAGGGTGGGTGAGGGCTGGAGGGGGAACTTCGTGGTAGAGCAGAGATGACCATGTCCCCTCGGCTGTCCCCAGGCAGATTGGCGGGACCAGGAGCTCTGCTGTCTGTGCCTTCTCTCTCAAGGACATCAAGCGTGTCTTTGAGGGGAAGTACAAGGAGTTGAACAAAGAGACTTCACGCTGGACTACTTATGGGGTCCCCGAGATCAGTCCCCGGCCAGGCAGCGTGAGTACCACCCCCAACACTGAGCAGCCCTCTGCCCCCACTGATACACACATAACGCACATATCAAAGTGTCTGTCATGGCACAGTAAATGTCCAATAAATGTTAGTGCTCCCTGCCCTAACCAGTCCTGTCTGCTCAGATACACACCTGCTCTGGTGGCCCACATCCCACAGGTGTCCAGCCCATCCTACACACAGAGTCCCCCCCTCCGCTAAGTGCACCCCAAGTACCTGGGTGTATCCCTGGGGCAACAAGGGCGCATGGGCTGTGCCAAGGACTGCCTAGGCATCTTCATCTGCATTTCTTATTTAACTTTTGTGTTTTGATCCGAGTTGTATATGGCCACCATTTACAGAATCCTGTAGATCTACACAGCCAGTTACCAAAAACAGCCCTATGCCCTGTCTTCCACTTTTCCCTCTCTAGAGGGACAACCACCTTCAACTCTCTTAGCTGATACTTTTGGCATTTATCTCCAAATCTCTAACATACTTTTGTTGCTACTTCTTGATGTTTCAGTTTCAGGCAGGATCTATTGAATTCCCATTCTGGATGGTGAGGATTTACCTGTGCCCCCCACCCCCACCCAGTTACGTATGTGCCTGTAGCAACCAGCAAGAACTGTTTGGGGGCATCTGTTTCCAAATTCACGTGCACTGACATGACACTGGTGGCCCGAGACCCGCCATGGTGGGAGTATGAGCCACGGCAGTCAACAAAGACGAGTCAGGGCTCCCTGACCCCCACTGCAACTGCTTTACCAGCACACCACTGCACCCACCCCTCATCTCCCAACATAGTTTTATAATAATTTTGGATAGATCAATATTTAGATTAGGACTCATGCACAGCTGAGCCAAGGAGCAGGCCCTGATTACTTTTCCTTTTTGCATAATTTAAGAATTTCCCTGGGGTTAGTAATTATCTCTCTTCTTTTTCTTTCTTTCTTTTTTCTTCTTTTACTTTCTTAATTTTCTTTTCTTTTCTTTTTTTTTTTTTTTTTTTTTTTTTTTTTTTTTTTTTTTTTTTTTTTTTTTTTTTTTTTTTTTTGGCTTGCTTTGTTTTCTAAGCTCTTAACATTAATTCAACCCCAAACTCTTCCTCAATGATCCGCATCTGTCTGAAGACAGATCCATTAGGCATTCTAACAGTTCCGTCTTCCTGGAGATTGTTCCTGTCTGCTGCAGTCTGGACCTCCGTCCCGGGCACTGCCACCATCCTGGTATTTCCCTTCTCATCATTCTGGGCATCTCCTTTGTATCTCTCTGTGACATCTTCACGTTTCTTACATCCCATGGCTTCCTCTTTTTTTTTCACTATCTTTATTTTTTTAAGATTTTTATTTTTAAGTAATCTCTACCCCCATCGTGGCTCAAACTCACAACCCTGAGATCAAGACTCACATGCTCTTGTGACTGAGCTGGCCGGGTGCTCCTTTCTCTTACTTTCTTATTTGAGTGGAGCAGAGCCTCCATAGATTCCTGGAAAGAGATACATGGCAGGTACGTTTTTTGAGACTGAATGTCTGAAAATGTCTTTATTCTACTTTTGCATTTGATAGTTGGTATGTGCATGTAATTCTAGACTAGAAATAATCTTCCTGCAAAACTTTGAAGGCTTGCCTTGTTATCTTCAAGGGGACGGACATCTAGAGTTCTTCCAATTCTTAAGTCTCTGAAAGTCCCCGTTCTCACTGGAATCTTGTAGTGCCTTTTCTTTGTCCCTAGCTGTTCTGAAATTTCACGGTATTGTGCTTTGATGGGACTCTGTTCCTTTATTATGCTGCATGTTCAACCTGCCCCTTCAGCCTGGAAGTTTAGTTCCTTCAGTTTGAAGTTTTCTTGAACAATTTCCTCCTATTATCTTTTCATTTAACAAATATTTTTCGAGGCTGCCTGCCACTGTTCCAAGCTCTGGGGGACACAGCAGTGAACGAAGTGGACAGAAGTCCCTTCCCTCATGGAGCAGACTCTCATGTTAGGATGTTTTCTCACTTTTTCCTGGGACTCCTGGACTGGTCTGCTCCCTCTTTAAATCCCAACCAGTTTCCCAAGCCTTTGGGTTTGCCCCACTTTCTGGGAGAGTGTCCCAATTTTATCTTCAAATCCTTCTATCGGATTTTTAATTCCTGCTAAAATATTTAATTTCCTAGATTTTTTGAGCCTTTTTAAAGCCTTTTTAAAAAAGATTTTATTTATTTATTTGACAGAGAGAGACACAGTGAGAGAGGGAACACAAGCAAGGGGAGTGGGGGACAGAGAAGCAGGCTTCCCACTGAGCAGGGAGCCCGATGCAGGGCTCCATCCCAGGACCCCGGGATCATGACCTGAGCCGAAGGCAGACGCTTAACGACTGAGCCACCCAGGTGCCCCTGAATATCTCTTTAATAAAAACGTTCTACTCTAGTTTGTTGTTATTTAAACAGGTGAAATTTTCCGACCTGGCTCATGCCATTCAATTTCCATTTCTGTCGATCACACAGTGGTATAAAGCAGCAAAACTGGGGGCTCCGGGTGGCACAGTAGGGCAGCACTTGGTTTCGGCTCAGGTCATGATCTCAGGGTCTTGAGATCAAGCCCCACGTTGGGCTCCATGCTCAGTGGGGAGTTTGCTTGAGATTCTCTCTCTTCCTCTCCCTTTGCCCCTCCCCCTGCTGTCTCTCTCTCTCTCTCTCTAAAATAAAGAAATCTTTTTAAAAAACAGCAAAACTGAAGGGGGGATGATTGCTGTGTATGTTCTAAATTGCTTTGAAGGGTCTCATTTGAGATAATTTGCCTAAGAATCTTGATCTTTTTTAAATATTTGGAAACATCCAATAAAAATGGAAAGAAAGGGGTGCCTGGGTGGCTCAAGTCGTTAAGCATCTGCATTCAACTCAGGTCACGATCCCAAGGTCCTGGGATCGAGCCCTGCATTGGGCTCCCTGTTCCGTGGGGAGTCTACTTCTCCCTCTCCCACTCCCCCTGCTTGTGTTCCCTCTCTCGCTGTGTCTCTCTCTGTCAAATAAATAAAATCTTTAAAAGAAAAAAAAAGGAAAGAAAAAATGTTCTATTATAGAGAATGTCACACATGTATACAAAGTAGACAGATTAGTAAAAGGGACCTCCACCCACCAGCCAGCTTCAACACACAGCCAAGCAAACTTGTCTCAGCCATGCTCCACCTACGCACCCCCTCCCCCCAGGTATTTTGAAGCGGATTCTGGACATGGCATTTTATCTGTATTAGTGTTGTAAGGCTGCTGTAACAAATTACCACAAACCTCCTGGCTTCAAACAATAGAAATGTATCCTCCTGCAGGCTGGAGGCCAGGCAGTGGAAGTCAGAGCACCAGCAGGGCGGAGGCTCTGGGGGAGAATATGTCTCTGTTTCTCCCCCAGATTCCCTTGGCGGCTGGCAATCCTTGCTGTTCTTGGCTCGTAAACACCCCAACCACTCCAGTCGCTGCCTCCATCATCACTTTGCCTTCTCCTCTGTATGTGTCCTTCACTTCTCGTGAGGACACTTGTCACTAGATTTAGAGCCCATCGTAATTCAGAATGAGCTCATCTCAAGATTTTTAATTATATCTACAAAGACCCTTTTTGCAAATAAAGTCACATTCATGGGTTTCAGATGGATGAATGGGGGGGCACCAATCAACCCCCTACATCATCCATAAATATTTTAGTATCTCCAAATGATAAGGGCTTAAAAAAAATAGCCATAGTACCACTTCACACCGTAAAAATGAATAATTCTTTAATCTAATATGCATTTAGTATTCAAATTTCCAGTAGTCTCAAAGATGTCATAAAAGTTGTTTAAAATACGGTTTTTTTTTTTTAAAGATTTTATTTATTTGAGAGAGAGAGACAGAGATGGTGAGAGAGAGCATGAGCAGGGAGGAGAGGGAGAAGCAGGCTCCCCACTGAGCAGGGAACCTGATGTGGGGCTCAGTCTGAGGGCCCGGGATCATGACCTGAGCTGAAGGCAGACGCTTAACCGACTAAGCCACCCAGTGCCCCCAAATCCCATTTATTTGAATCAAAATCTAAGTAAGATATATAAGTTTGGATTAGCTATTCTTTTTTTTTTTTTTTTTTAGTTTATTTATTTAAGTAATCTCTATAACCAATGTGGGGCTTGAACTCACTGTCCCAAGATCAAGAGCGGCACGTTCTGACTGAGCTGGCCGGGCGCCCTTTAGATCATTGTTCTTTTAAGTCTCTTTTAATATGTATGTTCCCTTTTTTTTTTCTTGCCATTTATTTGTCCTATAGAATTTTTCTCAGTCCAGATCTTGGTGACTATGGGTCTCTGTGGTGGAGTTGCTGTATTTTCTACACCTTCGTTGGAGGTTGGGCCTAGAGACTTGGTCAGATCAGAGTTCGATTGGGGGGCAAGACCCCTTCACCATGGTTGTAGATCTTCTTCCAGGTCATGTGTGGCATCCAGCTCCCTCTCTGCTGTGGGGACTCCTCTTCTGTAGCATTATGGTCTGGTTTCACGGGCACACGGTCTTTGCTCAGCTCTCGTAAGACAGCAGTAATACTTTGCTGTGAGGGTCTCTTTTCTCTGCATCATTTAGCTTTTTGTTTGTTTTTTTCCATTGGTTTGCTTTGGTCTCTTTCGTGTTCATGGTTTAACTCACATGCCTGGTGGCTCTGGGCTCTCTGCTCGCACAGGAGTGGGGACCGTGAAGCTCTCTGGAAGCTTCGCCCCTGGATGTGACTCGTCAGCGTGGGCCCCTTGTTGCTCACAGAAGATGGCCTGGCTGGGCAGTTTTCTTGGGGACCACCGGTATCAACATTGTCAGGGCTTACCTCTGACCTGCCCTCGGTTTTCTGGAGGCCTCTTCCAGCCTTGTGCTTGGAGGGAGACTGGCCTGGCTGCTGGCACTGGGGGGCCGGGGGTTGTGTCCCCACACGCACTGCACCTCCCCGCCTTCACCCCTGCCTGCTGCCCTCACCCAGAGACCCTCTGCTTTCCCATCTCCCAAGAAGGAGCCTCCAGTCCTGGGCCGGGGGGCCTGCAGGGCCGCACAGGGGTGCGGGATCCCAGCCTGCCAGGTGCACAGACTTTCAGAGGCTCTCCTGACGCAGCCCCATCCTTCCCACTTCCAGAGCTGGCCCGCTGCTCATTCATGACCTTTAGGAATTCTGCCTTGTAAATCAGATCATTTTGGCTACCCAGGGGCTGGCTTAAGAAGATTCTTTTCTTTTTTTTTTCCTGCTCAGTCTTTTACCATATTTGTTCATTTGCTTTTCAGCTTTCACCCAGTGGCTGTCTTCCCTTCCCCCATCCCCCCCTTTCCAGGGGAGGAGGAAGTGAGAGTAGGTGCATGTGCTCATTCTGGCATCAGAATGAAATACAGATGTTATTAACTCACATTGCAGATGAGGAAATGGAAGCTCACAGAGGGGAGTAACTTGTCTGAGGACACAGTGGCAGGTGACGGAGTGGGGCTGGCCCTGAGATAGCGCCCTGGGGTGTGGAGGACAAGGATCCCGACCGAGATCAGGACACAGTGCATGGCACACTGGTGTGGGCAGGGCCTTCAGAGAACAGCCAGCCCACCCTCTGTCCACCGCCCCCCTCCCCATTTTATGGGTGAGGAAAAGGAGGCCCGGAATGGAGAAGGGGCTCCGCCAGACTTGTGGAGCAGGTTCATGAGACACCACCCCTTTCTGTGACATCCTTCATTCAGTGACTGACTCGGCAAACATTTATTGGGAGCCAACTGTGTGCCAGGGCTCGTGCTGAGTAAGCCTGGGGCTACTGACATGAGCGCATCGTCCCTCATCCTACTTCCCGCCGGCTGCCAGGCACCCCTGGGGAAGGCGTCAAGGCCGGGAGAAGGACAACAGCCAACATTTGTTGAGTTCTTGCTTCATGTCACTTTCCACGTATCCGTGCGTTTCCTCCGCACAGCAAGCCGGTGATACGCGGCACTGTGTGCAGAGCCTGGAATGCCAAGCCAGGCAGCCCCAGAGCTTCCATCACCTCCTGAGAGGAGGACCGCCTTGAGGGAGGCCCAGCGGGCTGGACCAGTGTGGGGGGGGCAACGGTGAGCTTGCAGGAGGGAGAGCGCTGACCCGGTGCGCCTCCTTCCCCCTTCAGTGCTCCGTGGGCCCCTCCTCTGACAAAGCCTTGACCTTCATGAAGGACCATTTCCTGATGGATGAGCAGGTGGTGGGGACACCCCTGCTGGTGAAGTCTGGTGTGGAGTACACGAGGCTTGTGGTGGAGACAGCCCAGGGCGTCGATGGGCACAGCCATCTGGTCCTGTACCTGGGCACCGGTGAGTAAAGGTCTCCAGACGTGCCGAGGTGACCAAGCAGGGACCACAACCCAGGTTGCAGAGGGAAGCCTTGGAGTTCGTTCACTCCTGCTTCCATTCCGCAAATGCTTCCTGAGCACCTACTATGTGCCTGGCGCCCTGCTAGGCTCTAAGATGCGGTGGTTACCCAACAACACAGTCTCCATCCTTTCTGAGCTTTGAGTCTGGGGAGGGCGACGGACACAGGAACACAGAGGGCTTTGCTGGCCCTAGCAGGAGCTGTTTGTCTCCCAGAGAAGCCACGTTAGGGCCACGTTAGAGCCGTGAAGAGCTGCCAGGTGTCGGGCGGCTGGGAGCAGCGAGGGCAGGGCCTCTCCTTCAGGAAGTTGGCTGTGAAGGGCAAGTGGGAGGGGGTGACTGGAGGAAGGGGGGGGCCCACTAGCATGCTTTTGTTTTTAAAGATGGAAAGGTCCTCAGGCTCCAGCAGGGAGGCAGACGGTGAAGAAATGGGCAAGCCAGGGGGTAACTGGCAGGGGAATTGCAGAGGAAGCTGAAGCCGGAGTCCAGGACGCGGGGGGGGGGGGCCCGTGCTGGGATGGGGGCGAAGGAATAGAAGAAGGTAAGGCTGGGTGGGTGTCTGGCAGGAAGCAGAGGCAGCTTTTACGGGCAGGCTTTTGTGATGGTGCAGGAGAGGAGGACACGGGGTCTTGGGCTGGGAACGAGGGGTAGAAAAGGGGGAGGTGTGAGGAGAAAGGGGTGGATTCAAAAGTCTGTGTGGAGAGAAGGAGCAAGAGTCAGCGGGGGAATGTGCAAGATTGCCGCGCGTGTGTATGGAGGGCCCGACGGCGGTGGATGACCTCGAGCTTCCGTGGCAGAAAGCTACAGGTGCGCCGATCCTTCCAGGACACGTTCCCAGCCACTGTATCCGCTGCGCACACACTGGGTCCCAGCAGAGAGCAACAGACAAAAGCTCAGTGCTTGTGGAAGGCATGCAGACAGACAACGAACATGCCACAGGAGCCAAGGACTTAATGTGTTATGAGACTAGAAACTGATTTTGAGGAAGGGCAGGTCCGAAGGCCAGCTGGGGAGGTGGCAATTTTTAACAGCGCAGACCTCCCTGAAGTCCTTGGAGGAGGGACACCTGGTGGAGGTGAGGGTGGATGCTGATGGGGTTTCTGCAGAAGCGCTCAGGGGTCCACTGCCCCAAGTCCATGGAGGAGCGGGTTGGGTTCTTGCAAAGGAAAGACAGAGGGGCAAGGGGTTCCAAGCCGTTTATAACAGAATTCCCGCCAGCCCCCCAGCATAGAGGGGAGCAGCCTGACCAGCCTGAGTCCGTGCTCCCCGTCTCTCCACAGCCACAGGTGCCCTCCACAAGGCTGTGGTGAGTGGGGACGGCAGTGCTCATCTGGTGGAGGAGATCCAGCTGTTCCCTGATCCCGAACCTATCCGCAACCTGCTGCTGGCCCCTGAACAGGTGGCAAGGGGCCTTCTGGCCAGGCGGGGGTGCTTGGGTGCTGGGTCCTTACTGGGTGTGCAGAGGTCACTCTCCCTCTCTTTTCCAGGGCGCAGTGTTTGCGGGCTTCTCAGGGGGCATCTGGAGGGTTCCCCGAGCCAACTGCAGCGTCTATGGGAGCTGTGTGGACTGTGTCCTGGCCCGGGACCCCCACTGTGCCTGGGACCCCGAGTCCGGAACCTGCCGTCTCCTGCCCACCCCCACCCCGTGAGTGCTGGTCCTGGACAGCGGTGGAGGCTGGCCCACCAGGACCTTCCTCCCCGGCATGTGGGGTTCTTCCTCTCTCCAGGGGCGACCGGCACCGCCCCTCCCAGGATCTCCCTCCTGTGGCAGAGGCTCCTCCTGGGATGGGGTTGCAGTCTTGAAGCTGCTCCAGCCTGCCTGGGTTTACCTGCCCTCTTCTCTGTCCCACCCTGCCCCCCACTTCCTCTCCCCTCTTCCCGCTCTGGTCTGTTTCAAGGCCTGAGGTTTGCTTTCCCTGCCTTCTCAGGAAGTCCTGGAGGCAGGACACGGAACAAGGGAATCCAGGGTGGGCATGTGCCACTGGCCCCGTGGGCAGGAGCCTCCAGCCTCAAAGCCGCCCCCAAATCAGTGAGTGTGGAACCGGGTGGGGGAAGGCTCAGGTTGGTGTCCCCCCAGAACCTGCCTGGCTTGAGAGCTGAACACCCAGACCCGGGGCGGATTTGAGTCCTGGCTTCGGGAGGGAGGACAGGAATTCCAAGCTGGGATCCAGGATTGAGGCTGAAGTCTGTTTTGGTGTCAGAGTCGGAGTCAGATGGACTGAGGGTCTGGGGTCCAGACTGGAGATAGACGAGGGAACAGAGTTGAGTTTGGGAGCTGAACTGGAAGGTGGGCGGGGGGGAGTCAGGGTCCAAATGTCGGCAGAGCTTCCCTGCCCTCCTGCTCCCCTCCCTTAACCGTTTCCTTCCTTCATCTACAGTTAAAGAAGTCCTGGCTGTCCCCAACTCCATCCTGGAGCTCCCCTGCCCCCACCTCTCGGCCCTGGCCTCGTACCGCTGGAGTCAGGGCGCAGCCAAGCTCCCAGAAGCCTCTTCGGCGGTCTTCAATGGCTCCCTGGTGCTGCTGCTGCAGGGTGGAGTAGGGGGCCTGTACCAGTGCTGGGCCACGGAGAATGGCTTCTCGTACCCTGTGGTGTCCTACTGGGTGCACAGCCAGGATCAGCCCCTGGCCCTGGACCCCGAGCTGGGGGGCATTCCCCGGGAGCGTGTGGAGGCCCCACTGACCAGGGTTGGCGGCGGGGCTGCCCTGGCCGCCCGGCGGTCCTACTGGCCCCACTTCCTCACAGTCACTGTGCTCCTGGCCTTAGTGCTTTCAGGAGCCCTCCTCCTCCTCCTCGCCTCCCCACTGGGGGCTCTCCGAGCCCGGGGCAAGGTGCAGGGCTGTGGGACCCTGCCCCTGGGGGAGAAGGCCCCCCTGAGCCAGGAGCAGCCCCTCCAACCTCCCAAGGAACGCAGGCCGTCCGCCAGCGATGTGGACGCCGACAACAACCACCTGGGCACCGAGGTGGCGTAGACTCTGGGCGCAGGGTAGGGGGGCGCCCGCCGCGCTGCTGGGGGACCTGGGGCAGCACGGCCCTGAGGGCGGGGGCAGGGCACAGCACACCACCTTCCCGCCTTGTCACCCGGGGCCCTCAGCGGGGCTGGAACCCAGCAGCCTGACGCCCTGTGGGCCTCCCCTCCACCGCACACATGGGCCCTCCAACGGGCCGTCCCAGGCCTGGACCAAACAAGAAGACCTGGAGCGGATCCCTCCAGAAACATACTGCTCCAGGAGCCCCTAAAACACGAGACTGCCCCAGGCCCCTGTGGTAACGAAGCCCAAGGTATTCACGAGTGGGCACGCCGCCGCCCGCCGTCCCTGGAGACCCCCCCCGCCGGGGGCAGCAGCCGCCCCCACGGACACCAAGACTCCGCCATCCCAGGGCCCTGCAGGGAGCTGCCCCGTCCTGCCCCCTTGTCCACCCAGCACCGCTGACCCCCGGCAAGTGACCACCTTCCTTCTTGTTTCGGTTGGGGCAGACTGTGACCCCTGCTGTGCTGGAAGGACAGGGGTAATCTGAGCCTTGTTCCTGCCTCTCCTCGGGCTGACATCTTCAGGCCCTCCTCTCCCCTTTCCCTTATTTTGGGATTCAGAAGACCGCTTGTCACAGACAGTTTATTTTTTATTAAAAAGACAAAGCTCACGACTGCTGTGGTTTCTGTGGGAGCCGAATGCTGCAGCCGAGGACCGCGGGGCAGACGGCCTCAGCGGGGAGGAGCGCCAGGTTTGTGGGGCCGCGGCTGCCTCCAAGGGCAAACCACCTGCCCTGCCACCTGCCCGCCCAGAACCGACCCCACGGCCCTTTCCTCATCCGTCGCCGCTCCCTGCAGCTGCTGGCCCCACGGTCCCCGCTCCCCTCTTGGTGGACTGAGTTTACGGAGCGACCGTACAGCCACCCCCAGCCTGGCCACACCCTTCCCCGATCTCACAATCTGAGGAGCCGCGCTCTGTGCACACCCCTGTTGGGAGGCTCCCTGGAGGCTCCTCTCCGCCGAGACCCCAGCACTGCCCTCACCCTAGCATGCCCCCTCTCCCACCAGCCCCTGCGCTGGGTGTTCTCTGCAGGGTCCAAACAAAGGATGACGCTGCACCCTGCCGCCCCCCACACCCACTGGCTCTCTTTCCCGTTCTTACCAAAACCCAGAGAGGGTCCTTTCTGGCTGCCTGCCCATGGCTCCCCCAGGGAGGCCCTCACCCCCTTGGATGCCCGTGCTCTGGCTTTCTCCCCTACCTCTCTGCAAAAATGACTCACCGAAGCTACCCGTAAGCCCCACCTGGCCTTGACCTCTGTGCCACCTTCACACTTGGCCACTGTATTCCCATAACTCTCTTTCTCTGGGGCTTCTTTTTTAAAGATGTTTTTATTTTTAACACGGCACAAAGCAAACAATGTGTACTTCATGTAAGCGGAGTCACACAGTATTTGGCCTCCTGCAACTGGCTTTTTTCACTCCCATAACATCCTCAAGTCTCATCCATGTTGGTGGACTTCCTTCCCTGTTGGGGGCTGAACACTGCCGTCGTACGTACGTCCCGCAGCTTCTTCACCTGTTCACACGCTGGTGGACACTCGAGTTGTCGCACTTCTTGGCTACGGTGAACGCTGCTGGAATGAACACGGGTGCGCAAGTCTCTCCACATCCCGTCTGGTGGGTCTTCTTTACTGCAGTGAGTTGGCTTCTCTAGGAATATCTCTCTCCCCTGCTGGCTCCGTCGTCCTCATCTTCCTCTGTCACCCAAGGTGCTGTTACCCCGAGCCTGACTTTCGCTGTTCAAGCACCTGCGAGACTCATCTTGCGGCTCCCCTGCGGACCTCTAGACCCAGAGCAGTGGGGCCCCGGAGGGCGCTGAGCCAGGACGCGGCTGCTGTCAGCGGACTCGGCCCACCTTTCCTGCCTGCGCTGCCATCCCTCGCCTCTCGGAAGGAAGGCACAGGAAGCGCCTTCTGCTTTGAGCGTTACGGATCCCTCACTGCCAAACAGGCAGCTCCAGAGCGAACTTTCTCCTGCGCTCCAGCCAGCACGAGGACAAGCCCGCCGGACGTCTTCATCCAGGGGACCCAGAGGCTTCTGGAAGCACATCCTTTCTCTCCTCTTCTCTGCCTCCCCTCACCATCACTCTGGAAATTTCTCTTTCCTCATCTCCTTCTGAGGTACAGTTTAGACGCCTCTGTGCCATCTTCCCAACCAGCCCAAGTCCTGGCCGATTCCTCTCCCCCAAGATTTCCCTGGCACTCACTGTGTGCATCACTCAGGAGGTACCTGAGCCAACTATAAGAATGCGAGACAGAGAGTGGGCTGTCAACACCCCGGCGGAGGGGAGGCACCTCAAGCCGCCTCCACAGCCGGCAGCGTGAGGTACTACGCCCTAGCGACAGGATGCTTGCCATCTGTGACAGCACAACCTCGGTCCCTCTCGCCCTACGTGACCTCTCAGCAGCCTTTGACCTTGGTGGCAATTTCTTCCTGTAACACCTGTCCTTTGGTCTCTGGCTGTGCGCTCCCTCACTTACCTGCCTACCTACCTGCCGCTGCATCTGTTTCCTGCGAGCACCCTTCTCTTCTCTGCCGCTAAAAGCTCCCTTGGACCGTGTCACCATGCCTACTACTTCCTCTCCCACCGCTTTTTTTTTTTTTTTAAAGATTTTATTTATTTGACAGAGAGAGAGAGAACGAGAGAGGGATCACAAGCAGGGGGAGTGGGAGAGGGAGAAGCAGGCTTCCCGCTGAGCAGGGAGCCCGATGTGGGGCTCGATCCCAGGACCCTGGGACCATGACCTGAGCCGAAGGCAGACGCCCAATGACTGAGCCACCCAGGCGCCCCTTCCTCTCCCTCCTCTTAACGAAAGACGCCCATCTGTCCATCTATCCATCCATTCAGCAAACATGCATTCAGCACGTGCTGTGGTCCAGAATTTGACTTAGACAGCAGGAGACACATGAGTCAGACTTACTTCCTGTCCACACACGGCTTACAGCACAGCAGCAGGGCCGGCCACAAGCTGGGGAAGAGGTCTTGTGGGGGACAGTGCATTGCCTGCCCTTCTAGCTACTGCTTACCTCCACTTGGACACGCCACAGACATCTCTAATGCAACATGTCCCAAATTCAATTTATCATCACCTCCAAACCTGCTCCCTCTCCCATGTTCCCCTATGCTAGCGATTACACTGCAACGTGGAGGGTTGGGGCTCACCCAACACTTCCTCTCTCCCACCCCTCCACTCCACTGACTGGGTCCCCACCCCATCTCCTCCCCCTCCTCGCTTGCCCGGGAATTCCTCAGAACCTCTGCAGTCCCACCAGGTCCTGACCACCTCACCAAGGCAACCAGAGCCGACCCCTAACCAGTCTCTTCCACCTTTCTGCCACTCCCATCCAGACTCCATTCTCTGGCCTGGGTCAAGAGGAACTTAACTAAAAAAAAAATTTCTGCCTAAAATTTGAAATGGCTAGGGGAGCCTGGGTGGCTCAGTTGGTTGAGCATCCGACTCTCGATTTCAGCTCAGGTCATGATATCAGGGTCGTGAGACAGAGCCCTACAGCGGACTTCACGCTCAGCGGGGAGTCTGCTTGAGGTTCTTTCTCTTCCTCTCCCTCTGCCCCTCCCCCTGCTCGTGCACACACGTGCTCTTGCTTTCCCTCTCTCAAATAAATAAATAAATTTTAAGAAGAACAAAAACTTGAAATGGCTTTTCATTCACTCCAGAGTAAAGAACTCCGGAATAACCTCCTGGGACAGTGTGCCTTTCCTCCAGTTGCTCCATATACACCTTGCACCACATGCAGCGGCTGAGCACCTTGTACCATTTTCCGGAAACCTTTACTGAGTGCCCAGCATTATTTCAGGCCTTGGTGACACAGAGATGAACAGACAACCTGCCTAACGGAACTAACAGTATGGTTCCTTGAGGCATGCTGTTTCTTCCACCTAGGACATCATCCCCTCTGGATTCTTCTCAAACCTATCACGCAGTTAGGGCCCTACGTACACCTCACTATAATCCTTTTTATACACTGCTGCTGCTTCATTGGGTTTCTGTGTGCCTGGATAATAGTCTCAATGCTGAAATCCTTTCATTCATTCAAATATTTACTGAGCACCTCCTATGTGACAGGCACTGTTAGGTGCTGATGGCACACCAGTGAACAAAGCAGACACAATTCTTGTGGTCATAGAGCATACATCCTAGTGTGGGAGACAGATGACAGAAATAAGTCACACAGGTAGGGTGCATTAGATGGTGATGTGCTGTAAAGGAAAAAATTGAGTTGCAGAAAGAAGGTTGAGTGGAAGGAGTGTGTACAGTTTTAAATAGGAGATTCAGAGTAGGTCTCATTGATAAGGTGAAGTTTGAACAATGAAACAATGGAGTAAATGAAAGAAAGTACAGGCTATGTGGATGCCTGCAGGAAAACTTCCATACATAAGCAGAAGCCAGTGCAAAGGCCCTGAGGCAGGAGTGAGAGTAGTAGATGAAGGGAGAAAGATACTGGGTGTGCAGGGTCGGGGGGAGATTGTAGGATCCTGTAGGCCTTTGCCATTGTAGATATTGGCTTTTACTCCGAATAAATGGGGAACTGCTGGAGCATTTCTAACAGATGAGGGGACATGATCTGACCTAGAATTTAAAAGCATCACCCTGGCTGCTGTCTTCTGATTAGAACATAGCAGGAGCAAGAGTGGAAGCAAAGAAACCGGTGAGGTAGCTTCTGGAATCACCCAGGTGAGAGTGGTGGCTGGGGCCAGGCAGGCAGTGTGGAGGTGGTGGGGAGTGGCCAAGCTCTGGCCATATTTTTGAGATGAAGCCCATGGTGTCTGATGATGGGCTGCATGTGATGGGTGAGAAACGGAGAGCGCGCAAGGATGCCCCCAGATACTTGGTCTGTGCAAACGGAAGAGGGGACTTACCAATGAACTGACAGAAGGAAAGGAATGTCTATTCAAGTCCTTTGTCCATTTTTAAATGGGTTTTTTTGTCTTTTGTTGTTGAGTTGTGGAAATACCTCATTTGAAATGAACCGACTCTCCACCCCAGGCTTTCCAGTCACTCATTTAAAGAGCTCTTCCTCTCCTTTTAAATTCAAATATAAGTAGTTTCAGAGCTGGACGAGACCCTAATGTCCACTCACTCCACCTCCAGAATGGCCCCTATTCCTGCAATTTTTTGAGTTCTCAAACCTCAAAATCGGTTGTCTAACCTCAGTCCTTCCTGCTGCACATTGGCCTGTTTGGCTCCATAGATGAGAAAAGTTACGCAAAAATTACAGATTAGATTGGAAGTTGGATTTCCAATAGCCCCGAAACACAAGGTGACCCATTTACAACGGGATCCTCAAGAAGGGCCAGGTGACTTGGCTTCTGCGAACGAGAAAGGACACGCACGCGCCGTAGAACTGAGGGCACGACGAGGCCAACGAAGGCGTGGCTTCTGCCCGAATTCAAGATGGCCACGGGCCCCGCCCATTTCCCCCTCCTCGGGGGCGGGGGGGGGGGGGCTAAAAAGCTCAGCACGCCATTGGTGGACCTGCCCGCGGCGTATCCCCGCCCCCCCCCCCCGCGAGGGGCGGGAATGACAGTGTCTCAATTTCCGGTTCCGGCAGTACCGGGATCCCGGTCGAGATGGAGGAAGATGCGAGCGGGGGCCGGCGGTCGCCGGGCGTGGAGGCTCGAGTGGGAGCTGTGGCCTAGAGGTCCGGGCTCGGAGTTCGCCTCAGTCGCGGCGGAACCTCCCTGATCGGAGGAGGTAAGAAACGGCCGGCGCGGGGTGCCTGACGGCTACGGTCTCCGAGGACCTGGACCTGTCACGGCGGCAGCGGGTGCCTGCGGCTCCGCGGGAGCCGGCCTCGCAGCTCCGGGGCTCAGGGGCGACTGCAGCCAGGCGTCTGTTCCTGTCGGAGGAGCGCACAGCGGAGGGAGCGGGGCGAGAGGCGTGGCACGGCCAGGTCCGAGCCCCCGGCCCAGGGCGGCTGTGCGGGGGGCCAGGCCAGGCGCTGCATGGACGGGTGTCATGTGGTGTCAGTGATGAGGGATCACGTGGGTGCCAGTGGACGACCACAGGAGAGCTGGGTGGGACCTCACCGTGACGGAGGGAGGAGATGGCCTCGAAGGAGGGGTCGGAGGCATCGCGGGGACCTCCCCTGAGGAGAGGTGGGCAAGCGTGTAAATGTATCCGCGCTCGTCCTGGGGGAGGTGGCTCCCAGGTTGCAGCGTCTCGATGCAGATGCGATGGGAGAACGGAGGAACAGAAGGGGGAAGCAAAGATCTTGTTTGCACCTGAGAATCGGGGACCCAAGCCTGTGGGTGTGGGTCCGGAGCTGCAGAAGGGGATTTACTTTGGTGGGGCTGGCTAGCCCGGAAAGCTCTGCCTGCGTCTAGTAACCATCACTGGGCCCAGTTCTGGTGACAAGTCAGGATGGAGTCATAATGGTCCTGGACTCTTCGAGTAGCTGTATCATTGTTATGATAATACTGACAATCCTTAACATTTAAGGCAGTGTTTTCCAAACGCTGGCACGTTTAATCACCCAGAGAGCTTGTTAACATGTTGGCTCTTATTCGGCAGGGCAAGCCTGCAACCTGAAACTCTGTATTTCTAAGAAGAAATACAGCTGATGTCCGAGCTGCTGGCGTGTGTGCTGCTCTGAGTAGCCAGGATTTAGAGCAGCATTGTCTAGTAGAACTTTGTGCCATGATAGAGATGCTTTGCTGTTACAAAACGCTTTTACCCGTACGGGCTCCCGTGAGTGGCTCCACACTATTATATAGCCATGGCAGGCCTGACCGGCCCCGCTTCCCAGATGAGAAAACTGAGTTTCAATGAAGTGACATGGTTCCAGTCATACCAGTAAGTAACTGAAGTGGAACTCAAACTTGGATCTCCTGAGGACAGGTGTTCTTTCCACCCTATGACCTGGCCTTCCAGATGGCACTGCCTTATCCCGAACCAGAATCTTATCTCAGAACCTAGTGAATAGTCTGGTGTGATGTTTCTGGTTCAGGAAGAGTGCAAGTGGAAGGGAGATGTGCAGAGACCACCAATCTGTCCCTTTCCCCTGTGCAGCTTGGTAGGGGAGGCTCTGCCTCTGACATCTCATTTGATGACTTCAGGGCATCCTGGGTCATCTGTTGGGTCCCCATAGGAAGCACCTCAATCTCTGTGCCTGAGCAGTTGTTAAAAGATGGGAGGAAATTCAGAATCGGAGCTGTGCACACAAATAAGGGTCTGGGAAAGAGCCATAAAGAACGGGGGCTGATTGAGTTGGGAGAAGGGAAGGCTGGAGGAAGTGTGCGTACAGGTGTCTGCCAAGAGGATTTTCCAGCGGGTAAAACAAGAGGAACTAGTTTTGATGTTTCAGCAGGAAGTCTGGAGGTTATGTAACAAAGAGCAGGTTGAGACCCCACTTTTGAGGCGAGGGAGTGAGTGCCAGGCCCTCTCACCTTCAGCTGTACCGGCTTCTCCCTCTGAGGCGTGACCCTTAGTGGCTTCTCCTGTCACTGTGGCAACGGTAGGAGATACCTGCTTTGGCGTTGGAGAGTCCCCCGCCATCCTTCTGGGAATTTAAAATCAACAGGCACACATGAGTGATGGAGGAAAGCAGAGAAATGGGGCACTGGGTCCTGCCTTAATTAAGACTTCTCGTCAGGAGATATTGGTACTGTTTTTTGTTTTTTTTTTTTAAGATTTTATTTTATTTGTCAGAGAGAGAGAAGAACGAGCACAAGCAGGGGGAGCGGCAGGCAGAGTGGCAGAGAGACAAGCAGGCTCCCCGCTGAGCAGAGAGCCCGATGTGGGGCTCGATCCCAGGACCCTGGGATCATGACCTGAGCTGAAGGCAGACGCTTAATGACTGAGCCACCCAGGGGCCCCAGAGATATTGGTACTTTGTGACTCAGCTTGACAAGTTCAGAAGGTCCTGGGACGGAATCTGCTGCTCTGCCTTTCTGTCCTGCTTAGCACATAGTTTGCACAAGCCCGGCAGGAGGCTCTCTTGCTTGGGCCCAGCTGTATTTGTCCTGTGACAGCAACGTGCTGCCCAGCCACTCCGCTCGGTCAGTCACTCCACAGCACACTGGGAAAGCAGGGGCAGCTCTTGGTTTCTCTGGAACAAAGCTGAGAGAAATCTCTGGTCATCTGCGGGGCCAGGAGCTTATGCTTAACCCTTGGGTGACCAGCAGCCATGAGGGCATTAATGCTGCCTCCCACGGGTGGGAGTGACTTGGCTTTAGACTGAACAGTGTGACTTGTGTTGGAACTCCTCACCTCCCATGGGGTAGAAGGCATGGTCAGTGGAGGAGAAATCTTGGCTCATATCGTGCCTCCTACCACTGACCAGCGGCGTGACCTCGGACCTGTTCCTTTTAACTTACCTGATGCGGTGTCCTCATTCAGCAGAAGTGTCTAACTGTGCGCAGGTTAACTTGTAAGGATTACATGAGGTGATAGGTATTCAGAAAATCCTAGAGTCTGTCTCTGCTCATGGCTCACTGGTGTTGGAAACATGACCTTGGGACCCTGGATAACAAACACTCCGGGCAGGGCAGACAATGACACCTTCTCTTGAAGCCTCAGAGGAGGGGACTGCTGGGCTTGGTGGGTGTCCCCGGCTGAGGCTGGGGAGGAAGGGCCACTTTTGCCCACAGCCCGTGACACGGCAGGTTCCTCTCGCTCATGGCCCACATCCCACGTTTGGGCCAAGCAGGTTGTTCCAAGCCATCGTTTGCTGCTTTCGTGGTTGACATGCATTCCTGCCCTGTTCAAAGGGCTCTGCCCTCCAGGGGTTCCTCCCACTTGCCTCACCTGGAAGCTGAGGTTTTCCCTCAACGCACCGGTGCTCGGCTTGTACTGCAGGCAGCCTGGCCTTCTGTGACAGTGACACAGTCCAGCTGGGGGGCGGGGGCCGAAAAGCTCACTGGGCTTCTCCACCGACTTCCATGGCAAAGTGAGAAGCTCCTCAGGCTGCTCCGGACCTTTGGTTGGGGAAGGTGGTTGAGGATGGACTCTGTTTAGACACTTGACATGAGGCTGGCCAGGGCACTGGCTTCAGGAACATTTCAGCTTCTAGAGTTGTCCCTTTTATGGGGCCACCTCCTTTCCCAGCCTGTCGGGATTTCTCCCAAAGCCTGGGGAGCCCCTGACTGCTCACTGCCACTTTCACTTCCCCATTTCCCCTCTGGCTGAAACTGTCTAGTGTCCTACCCAGGAACACATTATGTTGTCACCAAGAATATGTCCAACATACCATGACCTGCTGTTCGACAGTTGTTAAGTTGGAAGCTCCTGATTTCGCACAATTAGTACATTAGTACTAGTTTTGTTGGAGAACTTAGGCAGTGGATACACTTGACCTCAGAGCCACGTTACAGTACTTTGACCTGGATTCTTTCTCTCTATATCTTAGATCCATTCCCCAGACGGATGCTGTTGTCTTCGGGAACAGACTGTGTGTTTCTTGAAGGCAGAGTCTGTATCTTCCCTGTCACTTGAATCTCCCCTCATTATATAGGACAGAGGTTATGATTTCTGTGCTTAGGGGTGAGAAGGGCCAGGCATGTCCTCTGCCCTGTGGTTCTCAAGACTTCCGGGAAACCACTTAGCTCTCTGCTGGTTCTTTCCTTTCTCGAGAGTGAGTTATCTAATAACCAAAGAGGACTCTGACCTTTGGCTTGTCCCTAACTTTCTAACTCCTTTCACTGGAGGGAGGGGAGGGAGGGGGTGCCACATTTTCTTCTAATACAGACTGGAGGAAAGAAAAGTGTAGTGAGTGTGAGTCAGGGGAGTTCAGAGGGGCCAGCACGGGGAAACCAGAAGCAAAGTAAGGTAAGGCAGCTTGTAAATGGTGCCGAAAGAGGCACCCTGCTGAGGGTCAGAGGTCAAGGCCATGCCTCCTCAGTGGGCCCAGGAGCATCCCAAATGGAGCACTTACTTCCCTTCCGCATTAGGAACCTGCTGAGCATCACTTAGTGACATCCCTTAGTCCCACTTGGAGGACCGCCTGGCAGGATGCACGGCCCTCAAGCGGGACCAAAGCCAGAGCAGCACAGCGTCCTGAGCTCTGCCTGGGTGAGCAGAGGAGGAGCATGGGCTGGGGCACCAGGGCCCAGGCAGAGGCAGGGACTGCAGTGGGTGATTTGATCAGCCTGGGCAGGGAGCCGAGGTGGGGGTGGGGCTGCAGGAGTCGCTGAAGTGTGGAGCAGCTTCTGGAGTTGGGGGAGGGCCGATAAAAGAGGCGGCGGGGGGGGGGGCAGCATCCTGATCCCCAAAGGAAGACTCAGGCAAGAGTCGGCCAAGCTGGACTGGAATCTAAACTTTGGGGTGGTGGGTACCCCAGGAGATGAAGCCTCAGGACGGGGCTCAGAGCCTAGCCAGCAGGACAGAGCATGAAGCGCTAGCCTCCTTCCCCACGTCCTCCTGCCCGCTCACGTCTCCAGGTCTCCAGGCGCCATGGAGGACAAACGCAACATCCAGATCATCGAGTGGGAACACTTGGACAAGAAGAAATTTTACGTGTTTGGTGTGGCGATGACGATGATGATCCGTGTCAGCGTCTACCCGTTTACCCTCATCCGCACCCGGCTGCAGGTCCAGAAAGGCAAGAGCCTCTACCACGGGACTTTTGATGCCTTCATCAAGATCCTGCGAGCAGACGGTGTGACTGGCCTCTACCGGGGGTTCCTGGTCAACACCTTCACCCTCATCTCTGGCCAGTGCTACGTCACCACGTACGAGCTCACCCGGAAGTTTGTCGCTGACTACAGCCAGAGCAACACAGTCAAGTCGCTGGTGGCCGGTGGCTCGGCCTCCCTCGTGGCCCAGAGCATCACAGTGCCAATTGATGTGGTGTCCCAGCACCTGATGATGCAGCGCAAGGGCGAGAGAATGGGCCGCTTCCAAGTGCGAGGGAGCCCCGAGGGACGAGGGATAGTAGCCTTTGGCCAAACCAAGGACATCATCAGGCAGATCCTGCGGGCTGACGGGCTCCGAGGCTTTTACCGAGGCTACGTGGCTTCACTGCTTACCTACATCCCAAATAGTGCTGTCTGGTGGCCCTTCTATCACTTCTATGCAGGTAAGAGGCGGCCGGGAGAGCGGGGGTAGAGGGTGGGCCTGCTCCCATGGCCGAGACGCTGTGGCCCTGTGTGCGCTGGAGTGGAAGACTTCACAGGAGAATGGGCTGTTCATTCAACAAACATTTGACCCCAAGAGGGTTCACAGATGAATGAGACACGGCTTCTTGCTTTCAGGGAGCTTATGTTATTGTGGGGGGACTCAGACGAGTAAAGTCGACGACTGTAGAACATCAAGTATGTTCTGGCTGCCTTTCAATCAGTGAGGGTTAGTGGAATTTTGGTAGAGAATTGGAAGGCGAGGAAGGACAAAATTCATGGGATATTTGGGATTTGAAGATGAAATTTCAAATTTCAGATGAGTGTTTAAGTTGGATGCCTTTCCTCAGCGTTGTTAAATTCAAGATGTCATAGAGCCTTGAACTCCTCCGCTCCTAGAATATATTTTTGTTCATAAGACATTTTACTTCTTTTTAAGTATTTCCCAGAAATGGATCACTGGGTCCAAAGATAACATTTTTGAGGGCCTCGATGAACATGCCGCCAGATTTCATTCTGGAAGGGCGGAGTGCCTTGCCAAGAACAGGACCTGAGTGTGCCTGTGACCCTTGGCATCCACAGCTTTGGGCAACCAGCAGACTCCCATGAGGATGGTCTCTGCTTCAAGCCTCCCCAGGCCCTTCTGCAGGCGCCTGAGCCTTGGCAGTAGGCCTTCTGTCCAATCTATCTGGGACCTTCCTAACCAAATTTCATAATGACTTCCTAATCTGTAATCATCCTATCCCTCTGGCACTACACATTTGTGATTCTCCCTTTTTCCTGATGGTACCTTCCTCTTTATTGCTAGCTCTGTTTCTCTCTCCTGTTTGACACAGTCTTTCTTCCTGAATATTTGGTAAAATCCACATACCCAGACTCCACCCCTGACCCTTTGCATCAGATCTTTTGGGAATGGATCCTGCTAATCTTAATGTTAAGAAAAACTCCAGAAGGGGCGCCTTCGGCTCAGGTCAGAGCCCTGAGATTGAATCCCTCATTGGGCTCCTTGCTCGGCGGGGAGCCTGCTTCTCCCTGCCCCCCTCTGCCCCTGCCTCTCTGCCTGCTTGTGCTTTCTCTCTCTCTCTCTCTCTCTTAAAAGAAAAGAAAAGAAAAACTCTAGGAATTGTGAGCATTTTCTCTGGTGTCTGTCTTTGCCCTTCTCTCCTCATGTGATTTCATTTACAATTGACTTGTCCTTTTCTGCCATGTCAGAAAACCTGTGTCTATCCCCAGACTAACTTTCCAGAGCTCTGGACAGACACTCTGACTGCTGGGCCTCTCGACTTGGATGCATGCATTTATATCTGAAACTATTCAGCGAACTATTTTTCATCCCAAGCTGATTGACTCACTTCTTTCTCTCAGCAGCCACATTATTCTCCACATCACTCCCTCTTCCTCGTCCCCACATCTGGTCCTAGTGACCCCAGAATGTCTTTCCCTACTCTCTGTCCATTTCTCCTGCCTTCCCTGGAAACCACGCCTCAGTGACTACCCTGCTGGGTGCTGCGCCAGCCCTCTAGCTGGTCTCCCATCCCACCTACCACACACACCTAATGGAGTCACTCTTTAAACCCTGGCTGTGGTGCTCAGTGGCTCCCACTGCTCACCGAGTACAAGCCCATCTCCTCAGTCTGGCTTCCACCTCCCTTTACAGAGGAGCGTCCCCTAGTGTGGCGTGTGTGGCAGCCAGGCCAGATCATGCACGGATCCTCCACTGCCTCGTGTCTCCCACCCCTGCTTTGTTCCTCTCGGCCCTCCAGGCGCACCTGCCCTGGGAAGCCGTGACATGCCCAAGGGCTCCCTACTGCCTCCTTGCATTGCTCCGTGGAGCCCTTGACCCAGAAGCGACGTATCACTTGCCTTGAGGTTATTTGTGTGTGCCTTATCTCTTCTACTGGGTGGAAACGTTCCTTTTTTAAAAAAAAAAAAAAATGCATTTTTTAATTGAGATACAGTTGATTGGAAAGTTTCTTGGAAGTGGGAGGAAACTAACATTTATTTAATACACACTACCTACCTGCCAGATAGGCTCTGGGCCACGTGTGCTTTGTAAATATATGTTAAAGGAGTAGAGTGGTTCTTGTCATTCCCTTTTGCTTAAAATCTGCCAATGCTACCTTCTGGGCATTTCGAATAAAATCGAATGTGTCCGTAGTCAGTGCAGGTCTCCGTGATCTGGCCCGTCCGCCGTGCCAGCCCCGCGGTGGGCCTCTCTCCGCTTGCTCTGTTCCATCCTCGCTGGCCTTCCCTCTGTTCCTGAAACACACCGAGCTCTGCTCTCAGCTCTCTGCCTTTGCAGATAACGTTCTCTCGGTCTGGGGTGCCCCGTCCTATTATCCTTGTCGTGCTCCAGACCTCAGCCTCCATGCCACGTTTGCACAGAAGACTTCGTCACCCGGTTGGCAAAAGGGCTCTTTCTCTTTTCTTTTTCAGCTTGTTTCCTTCATAGCACTTGTCGTAATTTGCAATCATTTTATCCTTGACTCACAGCTCCCATGAAGGCCCTTCCCTGTTCATTTCTCTGTTGTATGTCCTATGCTCACACAGCGCCTGGCATCCAGTAGCATTAAATAAATATACGTTTATATTACTGTTCAAAGTCATGTAGCCAGGAGGGACTTAAACCAAGTCAGCCTGGGTTTATCGTCTTCTGCTTTGCAGATAAGAGGTGCCCAGTAAGTGCTTATTGAATGAATAATGGAGAGCAAAGACATGGGGCTCTTTCCCCCACTCTCTTGCTTTGTTTTTTCATCCTCTCCCGAAATCCCAGGAAAATGGCATGTGTCTATGACTACAGTTGGAACCTGGATCCTGCTGTGGCTTGCAGGCCCGAGGGCCAGTGCAGACAGGCCCATGGAGGCTGGCAGCACCCGGCCAGATGCCACCTCCCAGTGGCCGCGAGATGCTTCCTTCTCAGGAGAAACAGGATACGGGTGAGGCGGTGGTCACTTTGTCTCGGTTTTTGCTGACCCTGGGGGAGGGAGGGAGGCGATTAGCAACCAGGGGAGAGGTGGTTCTGGCCGGGCGTAAGGAGTCCTGCCATGCTGCCAGACTCAGAGGCCCTCACATCTGCCCCACCAACCCCCACCTTCCTTCTGTGCCCTCATCTTTAGGGGGCCACAAATTACCAAAAATAAGGGCAGAGAAAAAAATTCTTAAAAGTTCTATGGCAACTGAACTGTAGAGAGAAGGAGAGAAGACAGACTGAACCTCTGAGATGACAAGTCGGCTTTACGTCCAGCCTCATTCAGAGCGAAAAGCTCTCGCAGGGGCTTCAAGGCCCTGATGGCTTACCTCTCGGACTTCGTCTACTCTTGTTCCCTGCGCGCTCCGTTCCAGGCACTCAGGCCTTGCTGCCCTCGAAGGGTTAATGCACGCTCCTGCCTCCGGGCCTTTGCATAGGATGTTACCTCTGCTTGGAAAGTTCTTTCCACAGATCCGTAGGGCTTGCACCCGCCTTCAGGTCTTTGCTCAAACTTCAGCCTTCTCGGAGAGGCTTCCGTGACCACCGTGTTTAAAACGGCAACCCCTGCATTCCCAACACTCGGCAGTCCCTGTCTCCCTTTCCTGCTTTATCTACAGAGGGCACACGTCACCTTCTGACGTCGCTGTATCTTTTGCTTTTCATTGGATTGTCTGTGTTCCCCCAGTAGAACGGAAAACTTTCTAAGGGTGGGATTTGAGCTTGTTTATTCACTCTCCGTCCTCAGGGCCTGGGGTGGCTGGTGCATGGTGATGGCTGCGCAGTGAGCCTCTGTTGAACAAACGAGCTCTTGTCTTTCAGCGCTAGAGAGGGTAAAGCTAACAGTTCAGCTGCAGTGGGTTCCCAGTGACCGGGGAATGGGTGAGTCTGGGTCCATCAGCATTTTTGAAAAATGAGTTTTTCTTTCTTGATGTAGCCTGGAGAAAACATCTTACTGTTGGATATGACTTTCTCTTTTGTCATTGTTTTTATTTTTAAAAACATTCACATGGGGGGGGGCACCTGGGTGGCTCAGTCAGTTAGGCGTCTGCCTTTGGCTCAGGTCATGATCCCAGGGTCCTGGGATCGAGCCCCACATTGGGCTCCCTGCTCAGTGGGGAGTCTGCTTCTCCCTCTGCCTCTCTCTCTCCCCCTGCTTGTGCTCGCTCTCTCTCTCTCGCTCTCTCTCTCTCATGAATAAATTAAAAATCTTAAAAAAATTCACATGGGTATATACATAATGGAATATTAGCCATAAAAAAAAATGAAATCTTACCATTTGCCACGACGTGGATGGAGGTAGATGGTATAATGCTAAGTGAGATAAGCCAGTCAGAGAAAGACAAATACCGTAGGGTCTCACACAAATGTGGAATTTAAGAAACAAGACAAAAAAGAGACAAACCAAAAAACAGACTTTAACTCTAGAAAATACACAGCTGGTCGCCAGAGGGGAGGTGGGTGGGGGACTGGGAAACAGGTGAAGGGATGAAGGTACTTTTATCGCGATGAGCACCAAGTAGTATATAGGATTATTGAATCACTATATTGTGCCTTGGAAACTAATATAACTATGTTAACAAACTGGAATTAAAAAAATGCAATAAAAATATTCACATGGCTCAAAATTCACAAGGTTAGGAAGGGGATGCAGTGAAGAGGCTCCTTGCCCTCCGCGGTCACCCTGCCCCTTCCTCGGAGAGCCAGCGCTGCCAGCCATTCGGTGCGCGCGTGAGAAAATGGGCCGTGTGCGTTCCTGGCCGTGGGTTGAGAGGGGTAGAGCACAGTCGTTAGCGTTTTACACCGGGTGGCGGGGGGGGGGGCGGTTACTGTCCACCAGATGAAAGGAACTGGCAAGCAGAGAGGTTCTGAAACCCCTTCTCCGGAGGACTCTTCTGTTCAAAGTGGGCAACGTACCCAGCATGGCTTCCAGAAGGGCCCCGAGATTCCTCAGTTTTGTTGGTTCCAATGGAAGCGAGGAAGAGAAGAGAAGATGGGAGTTCTGGGGTCCAAGGGGGCTGAGCTTGGAGAGGGTTCGTCCTTGTTGGGCACAGAAGCAGCATGAGGGCAGACCGTACGGCGCCTCACGTCTTGAGGCATTGTCTTTCCCTCGATTCCAGAACAGCTCTCATACCTCTGTCCTAAGGAGTGCCCACACATTGTCTTTCAAGCTGTGTCGGGGCCCCTGGCTGCGGCCACCGCTTCCATCCTCACCAATCCCATGGACGTCATCCGCACCCGCGTGCAGGTAAGACCAGCCTCCAGCCCGGTGAGGAGGGTGACCTTGGGGCTCCCCAGCGCCCCCCTGACCTCTCTGCATCATGGCCTTCTGGTCCAGCCGGCCTTGTCCTGGTCAGCCAGTCCCCTTCCTGTGGTCAGTTAGCACCTGCAGAAACCAGCTGAGCACGTTGAAGCACCTCGTGTTTCCCTCGTGATGTCTGCGGCCTTGCACGCCCGGCTCCTGTCCTTGCACGCCCATTCCTGTCCTTACACGCCCGGCCCCTGTCTTTGCACGCCCTGCCCCGTCCTTGCACACCCTGCCCCTGCCCTTGCACGCCCTGCCCCTGTCCTTGCACACCCTGCTCCTGTCCTTGCACGCCTGTTCCTGTCCTTGCACACCCTGCTCCTGTCCTTGCACGCCTGTTCCTGTCCTTACGCGCCCTGCCCCTGTCCTTGCACAACCTGCTCCTGTCCTTGCACACCCTGCCCCTGTCCTTTCATGCCCTGCCCCGTCCTTGCACAACCTGCTTCTGTCTTTGCACGCCCTGCCCCTGTCCTTGCACGCCTGTTCCTGTCCTTACACGCCCTGCCCCTGTCCTTGCACGCCTGTTCCTGTCCTTACACGCCCTGCCCCTGTCCTTGCACGCCCTGCTCCTGTCCTTGCACGCCCTGCTCCTGTCCTTGCACGCCTGTTCCTGTCCTTACACGCCCTGCCCCTGTCCTTGCACGCCTGTTCCTGTCCTTACACGCCCTGCCCCTGTCCTTGCACGCCCTGCTCCTGTCCTTGCACGCCCGGCTCCTGTCCTTACACGCTCGGCTCCTGTCCTTGCACGCCCTGCCCCTGTTCTTGCACGACCTGCTCCTGTCCTTGCACGCCCTGCTCCTGTCCTTACATGCTCGGCTCCTGTCCTTGCACGCCCTGCCCCTGTCCTTGCACGACCTGCTCCTGTCCTTGCACGCCCTGCTCCTGTCCTTACATGCTCAGCTCCTGTCCTTGCACGCCCTGCCCCTGTCCTTGCACGCCCTGCTCCTGTCCTTGCACGCCCTGCTCCTGTCCTTACACGCTCGGCTCCTGTCCTTGCGCGCCTGGCCCCTGTCCTTACACGCCCTGCCCCTGTCCTTGCACGCCCTGCTCCTGTCCTTGCACGCCCTGCTCCTGTCCTTACACGCTCGGCTCCTGTCCTTGCGCGCCTGGCCCCTGTCCTTGCACGCCCTGCTCCTGTCCTTGCACGCCCTGCTCCTGACCTTACATGCCCTGCTCCTGTCCTCGCCATGCCCCCCTGGCTCCTCCCTGCCTTGCCTCCTGTTAGCCGATCAGACACCTTTTCCTTACTTTGCAGGTCTGTGGTTATTTGAAATATATCCATTCCAATGAAATCCCTAAGTCTGGTTTCTCCGCTGGGCTGAGTTCTCTACAGACTGTTCTTGAGTAAGCCTCACAGACTGTGCCATGTGGACTCAGCAGAGATGCTGTCAGAGCCCTTGGTGGTGCTGTCCGGAGATAACCGTCCCTGTCTTCTCTCAGCCCAGAGATAGTTCCCCAGCACCTAGTCCAAGGAAATAGAACCTGAATATGGGTGTGTCACATACAAATGGCGCTCTGCTGTCTAAAGCTTTAGGTGGAGAGAATGGGGGATTTTGATGTCTGAGGCGGGTAGAGTAGGAGGACAGCTGTCCAGAAGAGTGGGGTCACTGGTGAGGGTGGGAGGGGAGGAGAAGAAACTCAACAGCTTGGGGGTGAGGTCAGCTTCCCTGATAACCAGGATGCGGGGGTGGAGGTGGCTGGTAAAAATCTAAAGGTATATTTGTCCCTAGGAAAGAATGCTGCCCCCACACACTTTTGAACGAATAAATTGGCATTTGATGGGTTTGCAAATAATAAAGCGCACAGGTTCCCTCCTCGTTCTTTTCTGAGGCTTGTTTTGAGTGTTCCATGAGGAGATCCCAGGGAAAGGACAGGTGTCTACTTCTGAGGCACTCCCAGGCGGGAGGAGACCAAGCTAGCTGGAGCGGCCCTGCCGCGGCTGTGGCTACGTGGGAGGCCTGGGGGCAGAGGCGGGCAGAGGAGAGTACTGCAGACGAAGAGCAGAGTGTGGAGGAGGGGGCCACGGGACGTGGGGAGGAGGGGGGGATGCTCTGAGCCGGAGATCCCCTTGTGAACATCATCCACTCCGGGGAAGTACGGCAAGGAGAGCAGGTGTCCTGCACTGGCTGAGGGTCTGAGTGGGGCCAAGTGTGCTTTGGTGGCAGGGTCCGGGGAAAGGGGCAGGAACAGAGAAGATTCTTGCCTTAGCCAAACTTCCAGTGTGGCAGGGAGCAGGGGTCCTGGGGTGAGGGGAGGACTCCCAACTGCGGGGACTGAGGGACTGAGGTGGTTGGAATGGAAATGACAGACCAGCAGGGCCACGAGCACCTGGTCTCCCTGAGGCCAGAGAGACGCACGCAGGGTAAGGACAAGGACCGCAGCTGAGCGGCTGATCTGCTGACGGCAGTGACAGCTCGCAGTTACAGGGCGCGTGCGCCTGTCAGCGTTGACTGCTCAGAACGACCGCAGGGGTGGGTACGCTCCGTCGCTGCTTACGTGTGAACAGACTGAGTGCAGAGAGGTGACTGTGTTCCCTGAGGCTGCGCTCTTAGTAAGCTGGGGGCAGAACTCAACCCAGGCAGCCTGGCACCGGAGCCCACGTGAAGCCCTGTGCTGCACTGTCCCTCCCAAGCACAGTCCAGCCCCGGGACCCCAAGGCAGAGGGAGCCTGTGCTGAGCGACTTCGACTGCACACCGTGGCCCTCCACTGTGTTGCTTTTCCAGGTTGAAGGCAAGAGCTCCATCATCCTGACCTTCCGACAGCTGATGGCAGAAGAGGGGCCTTGGGGCCTCATGAAAGGCCTCTCGGCCAGAATCATCTCAGCCACGCCCTCCACCATCGTCATCGTGGTGGGTTACGAGAGCCTCAAGAAACTCAGCCTCCGACCTGAGCTGGTGGACTCAAGACACTGGTAACTCGTGGCGGGGAGCGACCCCCGCTGTTTGCCACACTACTCTGGGGTGGGGGCGGCGTGGGGAGGGTAGCACCCCCCCACCCCGTGCGCCCACCACATTCGCAGCCCTGCCCTAGGCCGGACGGCCTGTCTCGGACACGACGGAGACTCTGAACTGCTCTTGCTTAAGAGACTCCACACCTGGACCCCCTGCTCCCGTTACTTTTTATTTTCTTGCCAAACTGGGCTCCCTTGCTCAGTCTGGGTCCTCGGTCCTATCCTAAGGAGACTCACCGTCCCCACCAGTCCCACCCCACCCATCCGCTGCGAACCCTTCTTCTGGCTTCCCCCGCCATCTGGGTCCCTGAGACCCTGACAAAGAGCTGTACATAGAGCTTGCTTACTCTCACTGGTCTTCCTCCCGGGCTTTCAGCCCAGGTTCCATCAGCTACCTTTCCTGCTTCATCTCTCAGGCTTGCTTGTTTTTACTTTGGGACTGAGCTGCCCACCAGACTGCTCTGCTTTTCCCTGCCACCGGGGGGAGGGGGGCACGGTGCCAGGTACTTCTGCATAGGGAGTGGGAGCAGAAAAACCTCTGGTTCTCCAGAGCACTTGTCCTCTCTTTGGAGAGTTATTAGGTCGGGGACAAATGTTGATACTCTTATTTTGTGTGTGTATTTTTTTAACATCTGTGAACTAGGTACTGTCAGTCCTGCTGAAGCACCAATGCTGCAGTCAGAGCCCACCCCTTTCTCAGACAGGTGGAAAACGTGGCTTTTCCCTCAATCCCAGTTACTTGTCCCTTTCACGTTCCTTCAGAGCCAGCAGCCCCCGGACGCAGCGGCCGGGGATGGCTAGAGGGGCGGGCCCAGTTCCGAGTAGATGGGGCCTCCTGGGCCCGCTGCCCCCAGGTGGAGAGAACAGCTGGTGCGGAGCAGCCCAGTGAGGCTCTGGGCCCTGGGCAGTGGGGCCGCCTGCGTCTACGCCCCAGTCACTGCGACTTACGGACACACAGGTCTCACAGCGGGAATCTCCGAGTCGTGGAACCCCTGGTGTTTCTCATTTCTTCATCCCAGTCACGGGCCTCCCGAGGGATTCTTGGGAGACGGGAAGGAGCGGGGCAGGAGGTGACCCGCACCAGGACCGCTGCACTTACCAGCCCGACACTGCCCAGCTGATCTCTTGCCCCATGCCCGGCCGCCACCAAGCCTGCGATGCGGGGTGCGGCGCCCCCGGCACAGAAGGCCTGTCAGACCCTGCCCTCGCACTGCACACGTGTGGCCGGATGAGCCTTCCCACCTCTCATCGGTCCTATCCCTGGGAAAGGCCACGGCGCCAACTTGAAAGGTGCTAGCTACCTGAGGCCTTGACACTTCTTCGGGCTGCCCCCCGCCTTCTGTCGCCCTGGCCAGGTCAGAGCCAACCCTGCTTCTCCACCTTCGCCACCACCACCGCCCATCTGGGCCTCGAGGCTTCGAAGGTTAACCCCCTTCACCCACCTTCGGTTTTGCGTCCCCTCCCCTCCTTTGTCAGGTGTCCCCCAGTGCGTGTCCACTGCGCAGGGGACTCTGAACCTCCTGCCCCTCCGCCACCCACCTGCCCCAAGAGCCACCAACAGGATAGAGGCCAGGGCCCCTCCGCCCTCCCCGCGCCTCAGTCCCACACCTCCCCCTAGAGGCCCGTCCGCGGTCCGCCGGTCCGCCCCACGCTGGCCACGCAGGCCCGGTGGCGGCAGGAGGCGGGGTGCTGCCCCGCCGACCGCCGACCGCCTTCCCCCGGCTCCCCGTGCGGCGGGGTGCCGCACCCCCCTCTCCCCCTGCCCCTCTCCCCACCTCTCCCGCTCTGTCCATCGCGCTCTCCCCCCCCTCCCTGTCTCGCACTGGCGCGCGCTCGCGGTCCGAGAGGTCGCCGTGCGTCTCCGACGGGGAGCCCTGGCCCCTGCTCCCCCGTCCAGCACGTCCGGCGCCGGGGTCGGCTTGGGTTCTGCAGCCGGGGTGGGGAGCGGACCAAAGGCCACGTCAGCGGGACTTGTGGGGTGAGCTGGGCCGTGGCCCGAAATGGACGGAACGTGGGACGCCGGGACTGGACTCCTGGGAACATTAGCGGCGGACACTCACTGTTACACTGTACGAAGTCCCTGACGCGTAATTAAAAGTTTTTATTGAGCCCCCGAGCTTTGGCTTGCTCTCACTCCGCCTGCCAGCCCAAGGAGGACGCGGGTGCGCAGCGCGCGGCTGCCGGGGCGGCTCCCCGCCCCCGAGCGGCTCGGTGATGGACACCCGCCGCTTCCAATCGGAGGGGGCCCAGTGCCGAGGCCGGCCAATCGGGGGCCTCGGTGGGCGGGGCGGCCGAGCCCGTCAGATTTGGCGGTCTGGCTTCAACATGGCCGCAGCGCGCAGCGTCAACGCAGAGAGCGGCCGTGAGGAAAAGGGGCCTGAGGGGTCGTGTCCGGAATCAGGGCCCCCCGGCGCCACCATCCCGAGGGTGAAGCTCCTCGACACTCTGGTGGATACCTTCCTCCAGAAGCTGGTCGCCGCCGGAAGGTAAGGGGGACAAAGCTACAGGCGTGCGAGAGGCCTAGGGGAGGGGGCGCGGCGGCGCTGGCGGCGGCCTGGGCACGTGGGCTCGTGCCCGGGCTGTGACCGGCCGGCGGGCCGGCAGTCACGCGGTGTCGCGCGCTCCGTCCGAGGGCGGAGCGGGGAGCTCGGCGCTCTTTTCACCCGCGGCCCGGCCCCCAGTGTGCGGGAAGGCGCTTGGTGAGGTGTGGGGTGTCCACGACCCGATGCGGAAGTGCAGGCGGGTCGCGGGCCGTCCGCGCGGGCGTCGCGCCGTGTCCCCCTGCGGGCGGTGCTGTGGCCGTGCTCCCCGCGCGGCCCGCGCCTTAGTCCGGCACAGAGCTGCGGCCGTCCCTGCGCCCGCGGGTTCAGGCCGCACACGTACGAGCGCCCTCTTGGCGCGCATCCGTGGGTGGAGACGTGCAGGGGGCAGAGTAGGCACGGCGCTTGCTGAGATGGCGGGCGGGCGATGGCGTGGAGGGCAGCTCGGGGAAGGGAGCCCACCGAGGACGTGACACTGAGCGGAACCTGGAGCAGTGAGGGATGGGGGAAAGCCTACAGACGGCGGACATAGCTTGTGCAAAGGCCCTGAGGTAGTCAGGTCTGCGGGGGGAGGGTAGGTGGCGGCCTTTTCGTGCAGGACCTAGTTTCCAGAGTAATTAATTTGATAAAACAATTTGTAATTATTTTTATGGAGCCGTCATAAGACACCACCAAGATCTGTCCAGGCGAAGTCCCTTCTTTGTTTTAGTGTCTCCCCCCCCCCCCCCCCCCCGCTCATTCCCCTCTTCCCTCTCCATAGGCCCCACTTTCTATTGGCTCTATGTCCTCCGATTATTCATTTGCGTCTACAGTTTCCCAGGCTATGTTCTAGGAGCTGGAGATGAACCTGTGATCAAGGGGCCAGGAAGGTCCCTGCTCTCCTGGAGAAGGTGCACTAGTGCCATAAAGAGAACTAAATCAGGGTAAAGGAATAGAGCAGTGGAATGGGGGCGTCTGGGTTAGCATGAGTGCAAGAAGTGACATTTGAGTATGTTCGCTTCCTTGTAAAATACGTTGTTTTGTCTGTGCGTGTTTTAAGTTTATATGAATGATGATTGAGCTGCATACAACTTTTTTCACTCAACACCATTTTTTTTTTTAAGATCTTACCACGTACTGTAAGTGCATGTGGTTCAGGGCTTCTCAGGCTGCTTTTCATTCCGTGATACGCATCCAGCGCTTCCCCATCCCGGGTCACAGACCCCTGGTTGCCTCCGGACCCCGCTTCCACAGGTCATGCCCAGGTGACTGTCCTTGTCCATGCTCTTGCATGAGTACTGGCATTTCTGGACGTAGATAACGGAGAGGGCCCCTGGATTCTGGGGTTTACACCTACCTGTGGCTTGTCAGATTGCTTTCCAGAAAGGCTGTTCCAGTCTCCTCCATCCTCACCAGCACCGGCGTCCACCATTCTAACTCCTGCCGCTCTGAAGGTGTGGAGAGGGCTGTCCCATGGTGGTTGTAACACCCCTGCTGCCTCACAGCTTGGGACATACCCTCATTACGCTTGTCAGTCATATGGCTTCCTTTTCCAACAGCTGCCTACTCATTTCCTCCAGCTTTTTTTTTTTTTTTTCCAGACTCGTCTTCTTAAGATTTTATTTATTTGACGGAGAGAGAGAGCACAAGCAGGGGGAGCGGCAGGCAGAGGCAGAGGGAGAAGCAGGCTCCCCGCTGAGCAGGGAGCCCGATGCGGGACTCGATCACAGGACCCTGGGATCATGACCCGAGCCAAAGGCAGACGCTTAGCCGACTGAGCCACCCAGGCGCCCCTTCTGTAGAGTTTTAAAGTTCTTTAAAGAACTCATGCATTCTTTACTAGGTCACTACCTAGTCCTTCGTAGTTTCTGTTACTATTGTGAATATTCTTTTTTTTTTTAACATTAGTTACTGATGACTTAGAGAAACTGTTGCTTTTTGTAAGATAGTTGTATCTAGCGATCTTGCTCCACTCTTATTAAAGTATAACCTCCTTCAGAATGCACAAATCATAAATGTTCAGCTTGATAGCATTTTCACGAACGAGCACACCCATGTAACCAGCACCCAGATCAAGAAACAACCCCAGGAAGTGCTCGTATGCCCCCTGCCCATCTTTTCCTTCAACTGAAAGGGTAACCACCTTCCTGACTTCGGTTAACCAGACATTAGTTTTGCCTGGGTTTCCGCCCCTCCCCCCCACTTTATTAAATGGAATCCTGTGGTTTATAATCTTTTATGTCTGACTTCTTTTCCTTGACATTGCCTTTGTGAGATTCACCCACATTGTCATCAAGGACTTGTAGCAAACAGTGATGTAATTGTCTTTGCCTTCTTCCTAAAGTTCTCCACAGTGTTTAAGTTTTTGGTACGTATTTTTGGAAAATTATGAAAGTCCCTGTGTGTTTCTAGTTTTCTGAGAGGGTTTTAAAAAGTCATAATTATTTTTTTAAGTGTGTTTGTTTATGTAAGTAATGTCTACATCCAACATGGGGCTCAAACTCATAACCCAGAGATCGAGTCACATGCTCTTCTGACTGAGCCAGCCACATGCCCCTGAAGAGTCATAATTAGATGTTGAACTTTATCAAATGTTTTCTTCCTTTAATGAGATGATCTTGAATTTTTCTTTAGTTCATTAATATTGGTGATCTCCGTTGGTCGATTTTATGGAAGTTAAGCCATCTTTGCATTCTGGGAATAAATGTACTTGATTATGGTGCATTTTTAAAATACACTGTTAAGGGGCACCTGGCTGGCTCAGTCAGGGGAGCGTGTGACTCTTGATCTTGGGGTTGTGGGTTTGAGCCTCACGTTGGGTGGAGATTACTTAAAAATAAAATCTTTTAAAAAATACAGTGTTAGATTTAGTTAGATCTGTGTTCGTATGCTAGTAAGTTAACGGACCTATAATTTTTTTTTTACTGTCCTTATTTGTTTATAGAATCAAAGATGTATTAGCCATGTATGAGGACTTGGACAGTACTCCCTCTTCTGAAACAATTTATATAAGATTGGGATTATCTGTGTCTTAAAAGTTTGCAAGAGGGGCACCTGGGTGACTCAGTTGTTAGGTGTCTGCCTTCGGCTCAGGTCATGGTCCTAGGCTCCTGGGATCGAGCCCCTCATCGGGCTCCCTGCTCGGCAGGAAGCCTGCTTCTCCCTCTCCCACTCCCCCTGCTTGTGTTCCCTCTCTTGCTGTCTCTCTCTCTCAAGTAAATAAATAAAATCTTTCATTAAAAAGAAAAAGTTTGCAAGAGCTCGTTTAGGCCAAGAACTTTTTGGCGTGGTTGAGGACAGCGGTCGTTAAGAGCCTTGATGCTGGATGTGTCCTCCAGAGGGCACTGCAGACGTCTGGCATGGAGCAGTTTCTTGTAATGGCTACAAGTCGGCTCAGATTTGATTTCATCTTGTGACAGAATTGCTGTTTTACAGGCATCTCCCCGACCCAAATCTGTCTCCTTTGTTTGTTCTAACTTTTCAAAATGTTTTAAATTTTTATTTAAATTAAATTTTTATGATTTTCCCCTTTTCCATTATATGCTGTTTCTCTTTTTTGGACTTTATGTAGGCAGAGTTCTCTCTCTCTTACTAATCTTTTTACAGAATTGGCTTTTAAAAAAAACTTTTGAGGTTTATTATGAGTCTCTATATCTTTGAAATCTATCTTTATCTTTATTATTTATTTGTTTTTGTTTCTTTAGGTTTATTAGTCTTTTCCTAAGTTCTTGAGTTGAATATTTAGCTCTTTTCTTTTTCAGCCTTTTTTTTTGTTTTCTGAAAAATGTGCTTAAAACTATAAATTTTCAGGGTGCCTGGGTGGCTTAGTCTGTTGAGCGGCTGCCTTCGGCTCAGATCCTGATCCCAGGGTCCTGGGTTCGAGCCCCGCGTCACCAGGCTCCTTGCTCAGTGGGGAGTCTGCTTCTCCCTTTCCCTCTGCCTGCTGCTTGTGCTCTCGCTCTCTCTGGCAAATAAATAAGTAAAATCTTAAAAAAAAAAGAAAAAACTATAGGGGCGCCTTGGTGGCTCAGTCGTTGGGCGTCTGCCTTCGGCTCAGGTCATGGTCCCAGGGTCCTGGGATCGAGCCCCGCATCCATCTCCCTGCTCAGCGGGAAGCCTGCTTCTCCCTCTCCCAGTCCCCCTGCTTGTGTTGCCTCTCTTGCTGTGTCTCTCTCTGTCAAATAAATAAAATCTTTAAAAAAACCCTAAATTTTCATATGACTACTTTTGCTGGTTTCTACAAATTCTGGTATTTCATATTTTCATAGCCATTTAAGTTTTTAATTGAGATATAATTCTTATACCATGAAATTTACCCTCACAGTGCACAATGAGCACATTCACAGAGTCGTGCACCCATCACCACTCTCTGGTTCCAGAACATTTTCATTGCCCCAGAAAGAAACCTCGTGTTTGTTAGCAGTCACTCCCCATTCCTCATCCCAGCTCCCAGCAGTCACCAGTCTACCTTCTGTCTGTGTGCATCTGCCTGTTCTGGACATTTCATCTATACAGAGCATACCACACCTGGCTTGATGTGTCCAGATTCTCGCACTTCGCATAAGGAATGATTTCAGGGTGTGTCCATGTCCCCCGTGTCAATACATCACTCCTTTTTATGACTGAATTGTATTCTGTTGTGTGGCTTTCCCTACCACATTTCGTTTATCCTGCATTGACTGACACCCAGGTGGGGCAGTTTTCACCCTATTGTCTGTTAAGAATAATGCTGCGGAGAGCATCACTGAACAAGTGTCCAGCTCTCCTGGGGATACACCTATGAGTGGAATTGTTGGCTCATGTAATAACTCTAGGTTTCACTTTTGGGGGAATTGCCAGACTGTTTCCCAAAGCAGCTGTGCTATTTTACATTGCCACCAGCTTGAGGTGTGGCAAGGGTTTCGATTTCTTCACATCCTCACCCACGCTCCTTACTGTCTTTTTTTTTTTTTTTAAAGATTTTATTT